GGTGGGGTTGGGTCCATGGGGGCAGCTGCAGAGCTTGTTGTAGAATGTGGGTTGTTTGATTAGTGAAACAGCGAGTGCGTGGTGGAAACAGTTTTGCAGCCCTTTCGTAGGGTAAGGCAATTGGTGGGTAGATGTAGGCCTGTTTCCTGAAGGAAAGATGCAGGGATGGCAGTTTGTAGGGTTTTTGTAAATCGTAGGTGTCTGTTTAGAAGCTAAAAGGAAGTCAAATAACAAGGATTAGTATAGAGGTTAGTGGCTTTACTCATTTTGTTGGGTGGATCTCTAATTTTGCAGAAGTTTAATTTATGTCTTCAGTTGTTAACAACTTTCACAGCCTTCTTATAGAAGGATGGTGCTGTTTGTGGTCGAGATGTTCCTAGCCATCTTCTTTGGAGAAAGTTATCATTTCTTGCTGATCCGTATCATGGTTTTTGGCAGAGACAGTAAAGTCAGAGCAAAATTACAATTGGTAAGCTTATATTCCCCATGTATGAAAATAGTGAAGAACATATTATACCGCAAAAAATGCATGAAGTTTGTTCTTAGCTTTTAGCTTTAACAAGATTAAACGTAATTCTTTTTCTTTTAGAACATAAAAGCTAGCTACGCTTTTTGCTCTGATTGGTCTGTTACTGTTTCATTTTGTGTCGTTTAGTGACCATCGATGAAAGGGTTGTAAAAAATCCTTCCCACGCAGACCTTCCTAACACCGTCAGAACTAGGGCTGCAAACGAGCCGAGTCGAGTCGAGTTTTTGCTTAGCTTGAGCTCGGCTCGTTTATTAATTTTTCAGCTCGAGCTCGGCTCGAACTCGAATTTTGATAATCCAGCTCGAGCTCGAGCTCGGCTTGAATAAAAATAATCTAGCTCGAGCTCGACTCGGTAGAGCTCGATAAATTCTCCTTAACATAGCTTGTCAAGCTGAGTACAAGCTCGGCTCAAGATGAACTCGATTTAAAGTCATTTTTGCTGGAAAAATGTATAAACATAAGAATTTAAATGATAGAAAGAACACTAGAAACTATAAATAACATCTAAATTTCATACACATCTGTATTAGAAGACAATGTTCATGTTTAAAAGAGTAATTCATCCTTCCCCAAGCTCAAAACAAGGCAGCTCGCGAGCTTAGCTCGACAAGCCACCGAATCAAGCTAGCTCGCGAGCTTATCAAGCTGAGCATGGTCTAGCTCAGGCTTGGCTCGTTAACTAACGAGTTGGCTCGCGAGCCGGCTTGTTAAATAACAAGTCGAGTGTCGAACAAGTTTTTCCCGATTCGAACGCCGAGTTGCTCGCGAGCGGCTTGACTCATTTGCAGCCCTAGTCAGAACTCTTTCTTTCCCTCACTCCAGTCATGCCTCGCCTTACCATCCGTCGGAGCAGATCTGCAACTGGCCCGGGCCCCTGCCATCCTTTGACCAATTTCCTTACCTTACCGAAAATTCAGGCCGCGTTTTTCGCTGGCACACGCGCCGCTGCCGAATTCTTCCAAACACGCCAACGGCCATGATTCGTAGGAGAGATCGGCGGATCATGCTTGCCGTACGGCTCCGGATAGAATAACAACACCAAAGGTGTTGTTATTGTAACAACAAGGACAAAAAGGTAAAACTAACCAAATATAACAAATAAAAATTAATAAATAAAATTTCAATCCCTAGCTGTCTATCTGGATCTACTCCGATACCATTCCCCAGCGACCGCTTCTCCTCCCGATCGATTTAGCTGTAGGAGCCGGCGACGGACGACATGCACTCGAAGCGACGGACGACATGGAGGACCTTGGCGAGTCTGAAATCGGCGACATGGATGAGGGCGTCGGAGAAGCCGTGGCCCTGGTGGTCGATGGCGCATACGAGGAAGCCGTGTTTGGCGAAGAGGATGGAGGTGAGCTGGAGACTCGCCGGTGAAGCCGTGGACGACGGCGATGAATCCGATTTTGTCTGCGGGAGGGAGCGGGGACCACCACTAGGTGAAGAGCTTGAAGCCGCGGGAGTTGCTCCGGTGCTCGGAGTGGTGGGAGACGTCGTGCTTGGCGTAGCAAAGGGCTCTGGTCGTTGGAGTCGGAAATCTGGTGCTGAACCACGGCGGCGGTGGTCTCCGTCATTGTGGAGGCGGAGCGGAGAAAAAGAGGAGGAAGTAAGAATTGAGTGAAATGGGGATGAGGCAGGCGAGAAGAATGTGGAGTGAGAGAAAGTGGTGGATGGGCCAATTTGTGGGCTTTTTTTCCAGGTGTGGTGCTGCTTGATGAGTTGAATGTGGAGTAGAAGGTTTGGTGTTGGTTTGTTGCTGCTAGTTGCTGCTGCTTGATGAGTTGAATGGGAATGATGGTTGGTTGGTTCATTAGGCTCACTTAAGAGCTTATTAATTGGAGTTGTAATGTGTTAGAAGAAATGGCCTTGCAGTAGATAACTCTGGCTACTGTGTTTTTCAGGTTTTATGTTTGTTCATATTTTTGTGTTCTTCAAGTTTTATGTTTGTTCATATTTTCGAGCGTAGGGTGCTGGTTTTTCTAAAGGTTTTGGTAATTGGTCCAGTGGTAATACCATTAAAACGCAGAATAAACCACCCATTTCAATGACCTTCGATGAAAATCACAAAGTAGACCACAAATATTTTTAAAACACATCAGAAACCTGCTAATGCAAACCACAAACACAATAAAACAAACCACATAAAGCATACCAGAAACCTCGTAAACCAGACCGCAGATGCTCTAAAACAAACCATAAACCTCACAAAGCAAACCACGGAATTTTCAAAAACACACCAGAAACCTCATAATGCAAACCACAAACACGCTAAAGCAAACCACAAAAACAAACCAGAAACGTCATAATGCAGACCAAAAATCTATTAAAACAAACCAGAAACCTCACAAAGCAAACCACAAAATTTTCGAAAGCACACCAGAAACCTCGCAAAGCAAACCACAAAAAATTCGAAAACACACCAGAAACACAATAAAGCAAACCAGAAACCTCCTAATGCATACCACAAATCTCCTAAAACAAACCACAAACCTCACAAAGCAAACCACAACATTTGCGAAAGCACACCAAAAACCTCCTAATGCAAACCTCAAACACAGTAAATCAAACCACAAAAAAGCAAACCATAAACGTCCTAATGCAAACCACAAATATATTAAAACAAACCATAAACCCCTCAATGCAAACCACAAAGTTTTTGAAAACAAACCAGAAACTTCTCATTGCAAACCACAAACACGATAAAGCAAACCACAAAAGGCTTACAAAAATATGAGAAACCAAACCATAAATCTCACAATGCAGACCATAACATCCGGTGGTCGTTGACCGTTGACCGGTCAACGAAGACCGTTGACCGAACTCCGGTGACCGTCAGTGAGCAGATTCCGACGCCGATAGGCATATTCCGGCCCCGGTGACTAGATTCCGACGCCGGTAAGCATATTCCGACGCCGGTAAGCATATTCCGACTCCGGTAAGTATATTCCGGCCACAAAATAGCATATTCCGGCGACAAAAGCATATTCCGGTGACCGGCGACCATTTTCCGGCGACCGGTGGCAGAATTCCGACGACCAAATTTTTGGGCAGAAAATAAAAAAATATTTTTTTATTTTTTATTTTTTTTATTTTTTTATTTAAATAAAATTTTCATAATGACAATTATACCCCTGCTTTGATTTTACACTAGGTCAACTCATCTAATAAAAAGTCATCACAATCCTAGCTTCCTATTGGTCAACACAATAGGTGTTGTTACAATAACCGGTCCCTTGCCGTACGCTGCTCCTCTCCGCGACCACACCACAAAAATTGGAATTGCACGCCACTGGTCGATTCATGTCCTTAGTTTCACCATTCGGGTCTGCTTTCTTGGAAATCGGAGCCATCCTGTTGGCAGACTCGCCATCAGTTTTCCATGTTCAGTCCTTGATTGCTTCACCACACCACCTTCTTTCTACTTCTGTTGTTCTGCAGTACTGACCTCTCTCCGCCAGTTGTCTTCCATCGTACTTGGTGGGAGACAAGTGCTTTCTTCTCTTCCCTCCTCAGTAATCCCTTCTTCTCTCTTGCAACGCAAATCCTGAAATTTTCTCCTGCTACCAGCTGCCGTGGAACCCAAAGGCGATGAGAAGGAAAGGGGCTTGGTAGACTTATCATCTCCATCAACACATCTCGGTTGCCTTTCGTCTTGCCACCGAGTCAGGGGAGTCGATGGACTTATCATCACCATCAGCCAGCCAGAAGAATCATTCGCCAGGCAGGGTGCCATCGCTGAGTATTTTTCCCCCTTAGAAGCGATTCCCCACCTCATTCCCACTCTCTTTGTTTTGCTGGTGGAAGAAGCAGCAGCAGATGAAGATAAAAAAGAACACGGAGGAGTAGAAGGAAAAGAAGACACTCCGACCACATCCCTGCGGGGTCACGAGTGAGTTTTCGTTCTCCCCTCTCCTTTCACTTCTACAACTGCAGAAATTTTTTGTTCTATCTATGTACTTTTGCTCGAGATCTTTCTACATGTATTTCAAGCTGTTCTTCTTTCATTACGTACTTTTATTTGACCAGTTCATTGCTACGTGTTGGTCGTTGAGATGTTTGAATATGCAATTTGGAATCGTGGTTAGGTTGTAATCGACAATTCTGGTGTTGGTCAGTTGAAATTAGAGAATTAGTAACCAGGTAATTGTAGCCGAAAAGTGTTCAGCTTAGTTCTATGGCGCCGGGAACAAGAATGGAGTTTTCTTCTCTATTGATTTTCTTGATATGCTCAATGATTCATATGCCGTTCACATTGTACGAGACTTTGTGTGCTTGCCTTATGTATTGTTTGTTTCATTAAACAAAATCACAATCATTGATGCTCAACATGGGGTCTGAGAGGAGTTGCAGGATCTCTCTTCAGTTTAGAGTTTCAGAACCTTTTTCCAAATTACTTGGGGTTATTTCATCTCTGGACCTTTCAGCTTACATATAAACTTATTATATTTACCATCATTTGCTTTTAAAGGTCGAGACTGTAGTATAACCATGCTTTTGCTGCTGATACAATGTCATTTCTTCGGAAGGTAATTGATTCACTACTCAACCATCCTGGAAATGCAGTGCTACTGCTACATTCGAGAAACTCAATTCTCCTACATAGTCATTTTATTTTACCTTCTTTTGTGTTGTTACGTGAGGAGGAGTAGAGAGGGATGAAAAAACATACTTTTACTCATATGGTAAAGGGTGATAAGAACAAGAAATAGCAGAAAGAAATTGGTGCGATCCAAAACAGGTTCATTTGGAAGGTACATACATGGTTTATGGTTATACCAAAGACCAACCTGTTGAATTTTTTACTTTATCTGTAGAATGTGAATTGAAAGTTTTGCCGACAGGTTCAATTGGAAGGTAAACACAATGTCAATAGCTGATGGGATAGCTTTATCTTGCTGTTCTTCAGTTTCTCCATAGCATTGAAGACGTGAAAGAAGTAAAGAACTGGAATCTTGATTCAAAGAACAGTAACCCTTACAAGATGCAAACTCCACCCACTGAATGTAAGTTTGTGAACTCTTTTCGTGCATTTGTTGCTCAAATTATGTGTTTGTGAATCCATATTTAAATGCTCAATTAAATGGATTCGTGTTTGAATGTGAACCCTTTTCGTGAATCCATGTTGTTCCTTTCCCTAGATCAGATTTGTATTGTTTCTTAGTCTAACTTTTTAATATAAGCTCTAACTACAACTTCTCTTAGTTAACACATCCGGCAAGAAATACACCACCACTAATCAGGCTTTGAATGAATCCTACCAGAAAGATGGTCAGGTATAAGATTCTTCACTTTTCAGAACCCATATTGAGTTTTATTTATATGATTTGCTGTGAGAAGTCATGATCTGATAGGTGCTCAATTTCTATTCCTCTTTTGCTTGCTTGCTGATTAGGTGCTCAATTTATATTGCCCTTCAAAAACTCTTCTGATAGCATGATAGCTTTGTTCAGTTCATGAGTACGGATAGAGCTTCTCCACCAGTAAGAGACATTAAGTACCAGCTATTGTTTCTCATCATCAATGGTCATCGAGATTGTGTAACTGATACACAAATTGCTGAACAGGTCGATTAGTAAGCTGAGTCCTTTTTCCTGTCACTCTCGCAGTCGCATATGCTTTTCACAGCCACACACAATTCAATTGGTTGGCTTTAGATATTGATTTTGAAAGTTTTTTCCCTTTGGTTTGCCAGTACCATTTCAGTTTACCATTTTAGTCTCATTTTCATAAGTTCCTCTATATACAGGCTTCTTCCAGTAAAGCTCTTTCTCTATAATTGATGGAAGGCTTTGCCTCTTTAATTGTAGTTGACAGGATCTGGCAAATTATGTATATAGTTTATGTTTAATTAATAAGTTATTTTAATAGTTAGTAAATGCAGCACTCTCTTTTATTTTGTAACAGTTCACGGGAAACAATCTGCACCAACAGTAAACTAACTACTAATACCAACACCAATACCAACAGCTTCAAGAATAGTTTGCAGTCACTCCTAATCAACAAACAAAGACAAGTCTTAAATGGATACAAATGTAGTGGGTGTTATCTTGCACCAGCAATGACAAGTTCCCAGCTCACAGCAGCAAGCCTGTTCGATCAGTCCCGCTAATCTGATCCTACTACCCACGACCAATCAACCATTTTCCAAATTAAGTCTTGCTTTAGTCAGCCAGCTTGCCAGATTAATCAGAGATATTGTATAATCCTCCCTCTGTAGCTTCATGACGTCTTTACTCCATAAAACTGCTCATGAAGTTGGTCGAAGGCCTGCATTTATATGCAGCAGTGGTCCACGAGAGCACAACAAGAGCAAAAGACTCACAAACATGACCATACTCTCAAGCTCCCATGAGTCACAGATCAATATCATCATCCACATTCAGGTTGTTATCCCTCTTTTTTTTTTTTTCTACAACACACAAGAGGGTATTTGTTTGGCCCAGCACGACTAAATGTCCTGCGACGTAGTCGCGGGTATTGATACTAGTTCTTTAAAGCCTACACTACACTCTTGAAGCCTTGACATGCTTGCTTGCTAGCTACTATGTCTCTATGCATACAATAACTGCCTAAAATGGCTGAAAAGCATGAAGTTCCTAACCAAATATGAAGTAATTATCTAAGTTTACTGACATTAATGGAATATTTGCACTAATTTAATTTCATCGAATACTTTTTCAAAATATACGAGATTTATCTTAAAATGGAAGATTTGATTACGACTTTCGTGAATACTGGTGCGCGGATGAGACTGATCATTATGGGATGATAGATGTGAGATATGCATTGACTAGGAAGTCAATGAGATGGCATTGATTCCTAGATCGATTGTATGGACTAGGAACTTAGTGAGACGACAAGGATTTCTAGTCAACCGAGATTATGGGAAAATGAATATTGTTTGTTACGTGATAATGTAAAATCCAACGATTATAAAACTGTACCGGAGGTTAAGTCGGATAAGTCAATGGTAGGTTATTTTGTTGTTAAACCATAGTTTAACCGTGGTTCAACCTTTTCATACTAGTAAAATCCTATACTGGCTTGGGATCCGGTAGGCGATTTTTCTGGTCTGGCCGTTGGTAAGGTAGAGTTTAAATCACTTAAGACACAGAAATGGTTACCTTGGCTCTGAGAAGTTGGCTTAACGTTCTTTCTTTCCCAAGCGATATGTAGTTGTGCATTCATCCTGCATAATAGTCTAAATCCATAGCACACAAATGACCAGCATTCAGTTTTCAACTATTTTTTTCCTCTGTTTCATGTAGAGAAGGCAGAATCTGTTGAGAAAGGGGAACTTAACGAACTTGTTCTGATGGTCATTTGGAATCGCCTTGATCATGCTCGATGTGATGTACGTGTATCGCGCTCTTCTCTGTTCTGAGTAACATGTCCCTCAATTTACTCTAGAGCTGCAGATTCATAAAAATTTACTAAATCATCCTGCCTAAAAAAATGACGAGAAGGAAGGAAATCACTTATTATCTTTTCTGTGCTCGGCGTACACGGTACACTGAATCCCTATGAATTTGTTCTTACCAAAAGCGCCTAAGCTAAAGGGAATATGCTCTGTTACAAACTCCACATAATTTCGGTAGTTCTAGGTTCCTCGTTTGCAAGTTTATTCGACATTCGGATGCTGAGATGGCTAAGGCTTGATTCAAAATTCATGGTATGCAGTGTTGCTAATAATTTAGTAATTTACCCTGTGTGTTTACTTGTTGCTGATCAGTAAATTGCACCTTGTGTTTGAGAGGTTAGATACTAAGATGGCTAAGGCTACCGAATTTTCCTTCTTTTTGTTCATCCAGAACGAGGGGCAAATTCGACCCCCTCCAGATGACGACGATGTTCTTCTAAGGGTAGAGCAGAGCAGAATGAAGAACCCAATGCACTAGGGCTTGATCATGAATCCATAGCCAACAAACTGAAACAGCAAGAGAAGCAAATGAAGATACATAAGGTTGATGCTCTTCTAGAGCTGACTATCAACTTGAATGTGTAGCAGCGATATATGTTGCCCCTTAACTAGATATAGCCTGTTGAGTTAGATTCCCAGGTGTTTTTTTTGTTTTTTTTTTTTTTTTTTATAATTTCCTCTAGAACAAGTTTCTGTTTTGAGCTGTAGAAGTGGACAAAATTATACTATTCTCTTCTGACAACTTTGAGTTCTCTGCATAAGAAGTTCATTTCATTTCCCCCTGTTCTCTGCCAAATTGAACAGATGTTAGATGGAGTAAAGTGGGTTGGGTTGTGATATTTGCCACCTCTAATTTAATCTCCCTCCCCGTTTTGATTTGGGAAAAGGACAGACTCGGAGCACTGTGTAAGATCAAATAAAAGTGCATGCACTTATATGAGCCAGAAAAGAAAGAATCTAGCAGATGATCACTTCATTGAAGTTGATAGCATTCGGAGACTAAGTTGCCTTTGTGGGCAATCGTTATTTTTCTAATCTCACCAATTGATGCCTTATTCTAAAAGGAACTAGAAACCCATAATTACAACTGTTGCATTCTAGAATCCAAATGAGAGAGTTTTCCCTTATTAATCATCACAACTGCTAGCTTCAAATAAAACACAGCTGTGAGATTTCATTTCATAAACAACTAATCCTTGCATCTGCTCATCAACAGGCTCACCATTACCCGAGAAAAACACTGGATAAGGGAGACCTGTATCAACCAGCCGACGCCATTCCATCCCTTCAGGAGCACTAGGTAAAAGAACACTGACCATTTTGCGCCCCGCATTAAATGCCATAAATATATCACCCTTCTTCAAGTAGCCAGATTCCGGATCAATCATGCTCTTAGACCGATCTGCCTTCAATGCCATAGCCAAGAATTTGCTAGATGGATCATCCCACTTTGGAGGAGATTGATCATTTCCATACCATTCAATGTTTTCTACATCCAAAAAGTTCCACTTTTGAAAAATGTCACTTCTTCTTCCTCTTAATGCACTCAAGAATGAGATGAACTGTGTGGTTTGGATGCCAAACCCTGTTGAGAGTAAACTCCAGTCGAGTGGTTTCCGATGTAAGTATGAAGTGGAACCTCCAGAAGATTGGCCACACTCATCACCCATGTTCAGAACAGGTACACCTAATGAAACAAAGAGAATGAAGAGATAGTTCTTAATCTGTTTAAGCCGCCTTTCGAGGATCATGGTTTTGCTTGTAGGACCTTCTTCCCCACAATTCCAGCTCACTTCAGCAGCTAGCAGCTCATCACTGCTATAACTGACCAAGTCCACAAGTGAGAGTCCAGAATTTCGGGCGACATAATTAAATGAAAAAGCAGGTCCTCGCCCATTGGAGAAAATATCTCCGCTCCCACAAAGGCGAGTTGCAAGACTACTGAGAGGACCTTCGCCCTTCAAAAAGCTTCTAACATCATGGCAGAATTTTGTGTTTATTTCAGCCCATCTCTTCCAGTGCGGAAAGCACAACGTTTCTTTTGACAACATTTCTCGAGGATCCCAAAAATCTGCAACTATCTTGGTCTTTGACAGTAGAGGGTCGAAGGCAATTGCTTCGATCAAAGGGGGTCGAGATAATGATTCCCCATGAAACCCTCTAAGAAGAGAGGAAGCATTTAGGAAGCAAAAACCATCAACATGAAATTGAGATACCCAGTACCTAAGACAATCCAGAATCAGGCTTGTAACAACAGGATAATTACAATTCAATGCACTGTTTGATCCTGAGCCATTTACTTTCTTCCCATGATGATAATAGGATGAGTCGTCGATACCTTGTATTGCCCCATATTCTGCGGTATGAGTGAAATTAACCTCCATGAAAACCTCTATGCCATTGGCATGTAATGTCTTCACCATCTCTTTCATTGAATTAATGGCAAATGTTGAACCACCAGAATGGCCATACAGGTTTGATGGTGAAAAGAAATGCAGAGGAGAATATGACCCTTGTTGCTTATCATATGGAAATATTGGCTCCATCAGAACTGCAGTTACACCGAGATCTTTAAGATGCTTCACCTTCTCAATCACACCAGCAAAAGTTCCCAAGACATCGCTATAGAGCTGACTAGACTGGTTTTGTGTAAACCGAGCAACATTCAACCGATATACCACTAGTTTCTCCATTGGCAAGTTAGGATGAACATCACCAGTCCAATCAAAATCAGGCTCCTTGCACAATCGCCCGAGATACTTGTTTTGCAGCAAACTAGTTTTACCCTTCATCAATGGATTAACAATGACTTTGGCATATGGATCCAAAAGAACACGGTCTACCTTCGATCGATCAATCCCTTTTGGAATGCATCTAAACCCATAAATCTGAAATGTCCGACCACCTTCTATTGATGCATGCCAAACATCACCAGTTCGATTCACATACGAATCCAGATCAATCTCCAAAGCAGGTTTGTCAACCTTAGAGTCATCATCATACAAGCATAAAACTACACTCTGTGCAGTTCTTGAAACCAATGCAAAATTCATTGAGCCGTCTGCTGAGTAGGAAAGACCCAATGTGGTCGGAGAACCAGGATGAAACCCAACTGGCACACAGAAATTAGTCTTCCTGTGGCTCCTGATTTCCAAGCCACCACTGACATCAACCCCTGACCTCATAGGCTTCAGGAGGAACGAGAGGTAAAATGGGGGTTGTCTTGCTTCGAATGCCAACTGAACAATGAACTTACCAGGAGAAATTTGCAGGAACGAGTTATCCATGGTTCCATCATCTCGTGATGGCGAATCCGGATCCAGACTATTCACAGGGAGGAACGATGAGGAATTGGATCTGTAGATACCCCAAACCATAACCAGCCGACAGTCTCTGATTTCCAATTCCAAGGACGAAACTTCAATGTACACCACATAGTTGGAGTTCTTCTTCTTCCCGACAGAAACCTTCACAGACCCGCCAAATTGGGTTCTGAAGTGGTAAGTTGACACTGTCGAGGGATCCTCGACTTCAATGCCCGGAGCAACTACCTCCTGAGAAGAAGGTCGCGATTTGGCTTCCACTGCCAAGATGGGTTTTCTTCTATGTGCACCATTTGATGCAACTTGACTCCGCAACAAACTCCTCCCGGGATCATTGGTTTTTGGGAATCCCAGTGAACCCTTTTTAGACTGTGTGGCGAGTGTGAGCTTAGAAGGCTTGAGAGCTCCACAATTGCGGCAGCCGCAGATCGATATTGCCAGTGATGGAGAAAGAGTTGCCATTTTCCCTTTACAATGAAAGCAGACCAAAGTTTAAACCAGGAAATACGAATGGAATTTACTTGATTTTAAGCAAGAAAAACGAGATTGGTACCTATTGGGAACGAATTCTCTGGTGGAATCTACTTTCTGCTACAACAACGACGTCAATCTGCAGAAGAGAGAGCCAGAGTCCGAGCAGCAAAAGGGTTGAGTTGAGCAGAAGAGAGGCATGCCATCGGGTATTCGGCGGCGCATCACTTGGATCACAAAATATCTTAAAATCTTTCAGAAACCAACCGTACCGAGTCTACGTCAGCATTGAGTCTTCTCCGCAAACTTCGGAATTTCGTTAATTTGGGGATTTTGTTTCGGTGACTTTTCTACCGGCTCTTGAAAACTTCTATAGGTTGGTGAGAGGAAAAAGTAACTGTAAAATGGGCGCCCCCAAAGAAAACCAATCTTCCACTTTGCATTTTCTTTTTCGTTAAACTGGTTTATATCGTTGCGTTGGCTTAGCAAGTGGAATGGTTTAACAAAATATGTAAAAATGTGAAAAATTATTAACATCAACATTTAAATACAATATTTAATGTCAATAAGTAAACGTTTATAGTTGAATCCAACAAATAACATCTATATTTAACTTTTAAATTCATAAAAATAAGTTATAATTTTTTTTCTTGATTAATTAAATTCACTAAAACAACGTCATTTTACTTAAAAGTGTTAAATCGATCATGCTGATCATATTGTTAGTGTTCGTGCCGGTTCATGACTAGCACCGAATAGCATGTATTGTGGCAATTAAGTCGTTTTTCTGTCTAAAATTCAGCTAGAATACATGTATTTGTTTTTAATGGCCCCACATACAATCCCTCATATTGAGTGATTATCAATCTCAAGCTAAAGCCAAGATTGTGAATGAGGGATTCTGTACTACAATTTTATTCCATCATTGTCCTTTATAACTTTCGTTATTCCAGGATTGCCCTCACCATCAATATCTCTCCCTACATTCGACAAGTTTCAGAGAATAGAAACCAGAGAACAAAAAAAATACTCTCCTACTCTTGATAATAGTTGTCGGCTTGTCTCCCTTAGGGTTCCTATAGGCCGACGAACCCAGAATCTCATTCTCCTCACCATCGCGTTGTAGTCGGCCGCCTCTTCTACATCCCGTCATCGGACGACTCGTCGGGAATCAAAGCTTCAGGGCCGCAATCGACGAAAATCGTCTAGGAGCTAGTTTGTGGAATCTGTTGGATCAGACTTTGGTTAATCGAACAGGTACATCCTCAATCTTATAATCAGTACCCATATGTGGTTTCCTCTATAATCCTTCCTCTGTCCTCGTTCAGTTGCAGAACATGGCAAGGTGCCCTAAGTAGAGGAAGAATGTTGTCATTGCTGTAGTGTCCATGTACGTGGAGCTCTTGCTCAATTTTATCAAGCTCCGCGTACAATATTATGTTGTGTTAGAAGCTGAAGGTGCGCAGATGTTAGAGCATGTTTCTTCTTGGGAGACACCAATAGCTAGACAATTAGCTAGGAACTCTTTTATGCGGTGTATCGTTTCCCATGGCGACATATCTTGCACCATGCTTGTTAGAATGAACTGTAGGACTTTCCAAAAGCTTTGTAAGCTTCTTAGAGATGAGGAAGGCCTTAGGTGTACTTGGAACATTGAGATAGATGAAATGGTTGCAATTTTTCTTTACACCATATCCCATAACGAGAAGAATCGTCAACTTCAAGTACCTTTCGTCGTTCAGGAGAAACGATTTGTAGGGTGATCAAGAGTGTTCTTCGTTCGGTTTTGAAACTTCACTCTATCTTACTTCGTAAACCCAAGCCGGTTCTTGAAAATTCAGATGATTCGAAATGGAAGCACTTCAAGGTATATACTGCAGATTTTGTGTTTTGTTATATGATGGTTCTGTCCCTTGCTCCATTTTGATAGATGCTGATTTTTTTTTTCCGTTTTAGAATTGCCTTGGAGCACTTGATGGGACAATAGTCAATGTACGTGCAACGAAAGAGAATCAAGAAAGATACCGTACTCGTAAGGGAACGATTGGAATGAATGTCCTAGGTGTTGTTGATCAAAATATGGAGTTCATTTATTGTTTGGCTGGTTGGGAGGGGTCGGCTCATGATGGGAGGGTTTTGAGAGATGCACTTATTAGGCCCAATGGTTTGAAGGTTCCTAGAGGTTTGTTAAAATGCTTTCTTGTCTAAATCTACCTGTTGTATTGGAATTATAAATTCTGATTTGTTTTATTGCATGCCTCGACAGGTTACTACTACTTATGTGATGCTGGTTACAGCAATTGCGAAGGGTTCCTATCTCCTTTTCGAGGTCAACGTTATCATCTAAAAGAGTGGGGTGGTAGACGACCAAGAAGTCCTGAAGAAATGTTTAATATGAGGCATTCAACAGCAAGGAATGGTGTAGAACGAGCTTTTGGCATACTGAAGATGCGTTGGGCAATATTAAGAGACACCACTTGGTTTTCAAACAAAATGGTCACAAAAATCGTCAATGCCTGTTGTTTGTTGCACAACTTCATTCGTGGAGAGAATGGTGCTGATGTGTTTGAGCGTTTGTACGTTGATGAAGACCCAGATGAAGAAACAGAAGATGTGGACGAGGATCTGATACTCCATATTCAACCTTCAGTCCAATGGACAGAGTTTAGACAACAATTGGCTGGAGATTTATGGGCTGCTAGAAGCTGGGCTACTAGTTGATTAATGTATGTTAAGCTACTATTTATTTTAGCAGACTTATGGTTGGAAAAATGGGACATGCCAGCATTTTGTGGTTGTGTATTGGCCTAGAGTTCCCCTTTTGTTTATTGAACCAAGGCATGGTGTCTTGTAAGTGGCCTGAATGTATTGAACTAATGGAATGAATGTAAACGTGTGGTTGTTGTACTTTTAAAAGAACTGGTGTGTTTACAGTGTGTAAGAGGGGTCTCATTTATGATGCATCAAGTCTAATGACAGCAGAAGAAAGATTGCTGAAGGACATGCTATAGATATGGTCATTAATAGTGGTTGTTGTTGGGTTGTTGGGTGTATTCAATATTAGTTCAATATAAACCAGTGGGGTTCTGCTGTCTGCAGTGTCCATTTAGCAGTCTGTTCTGAAACCAGAAGTTTTTGCTGGTTTGTTCCTTTTGTTCCAGAGATCTTCCCCTTTTGTTCCTTACACAACCATTACTTTTGCTGTTCATTCCCTTTGTTCTTGTAAACCCTATTGCAGGTGTAATTAACTGAAGAATGGCAGCAGATGAAGGTGCTGATGGGGGAATGAATGATGCTGCACAAGTCAAGTTAAGGGAGTATAAGTCGTGGACGGAACTACATGATGCATTTTTCATCGAGTGCATGCTAGACCTGGTTCAGTCAAAGGAAGTGGAGTCTGGGAACTTGAAGAATGGAGGTTTCAAGAAACTTGAAGCTATGATGGTGAAAAAAATTCCAGGTTTTAACCTGAATGTAAGATCAAGACACCGTTGGTTCAAGAATAAGTACAATGCCATATATGACGTCCAGAATGGGAGTTGCAGTGGTTTTGGCTGGGATGAGTCTAAGAAGATCATTGTTGCTGATGATGATGTTTTCAAGGAATGGGTGAAGGTATCAGTCTCCTATTACTTACACTTACATATTTATTGTCTTATCTAATTCCAGGTTTGAACATTGTCCTTTCACCTTTATCATTTTGCAGAGCCATTCCCACTTTTCTGGCCTGAACAAGACAAGTTTTGTGTATTATGACCAGCTTGCCAGAGTATTTGGCAAGGATAGGGCAGTAGGTGGTCAAGCAAGGTCTGCAGCTGATATGGAGTTCGAGGCTCCTGTTCGAAGGGGTAGGAGTGAGGAACCCATCATGTACGATGACGAAACAAGTCAACGTGTGCTGGAGGAGATGATAAATGAAGGTATTAATCATAGGGACTTGCTGGAAGATCCAGAACCTGTTCGTGCAAAGACAACAAATGCAACCGGAAGCAACAAAAGATCAAAGATTGATAGGAGTTCAAAAAGTAGCAGTGTTGTCATGGCTTCTGAAATAGAAAAAATGCGTCCTCTCATGGAGAAGGCTACCATGAACATTGAGAGGATGGCGAATAGCTTCTGCCATGAAGATCCTTTGATGATAAGGAGAGGAACCTTGTTTGAGGAGCTGTCACAGTTAGAAGGCCTGTCACAAGATCAAGTGCTATCAGCTGCCATGATTCTTATGAAGGAGGATGGGATCGCCCAATTGTACTACCAACTGCCTACAGATGAAGAGAAGGTTCACTTCCTCTATCGCCTCATCAACTGATGCATATGAAGATGGTTAGTATGAGTGTAGGACTATCTTGTAACCAAGTTACCATATGGTTAAGATAGCTTTTGTATGAATGGAGAACCTGATGTGAAAATTTAAGGTTTTACTCCATAGTTTTAGCCAATCTATAATGGCCTTAGGACAAGGTAGATTTTTCCTTATTGATGTTGTTGGTTTGTGGTGCATCTACTGGTTTGTGATATAATGATGTTGCTGGTTTGTTTCTACTGGTTTAATATAAATGATGTTACTGGTTTATGATGAACAAGTGGTCTGATGGTGTGGTTTAATAGAGAACAATCAGGACAAACTTTCTTGCTCATTTCATAAACTAATTACATTGACCACTACAAACAGGACAAACATCCTTGCTGGTTTGTTTCCAAGCAATTACAGCAACTAGAGACAAGCTTACATTGACCACTACAATAGTTCTACAGATAGTCAACTATACTATGCATCTTTGGATCCGAGCACAACGGTCTCTAGAAGACTCAACCTTTATGCAATTTCATGGAATTCCTCACTTTTAGGCCGTGACAATTCTTCTTCCGTACAAAAACCACTTCTCAGTAGTGACCTTCCCATTAGTAGTTCAGCAACCTCTTCTTGGAGCTCATTGTTGCGGTCTTGGAGTGCCTCATTTTGTTGCCTCAAGTGTGCCATCTCCATCTTCAAATCGGGCATAACAACTTCATGCCTTTGCTTCTCCTTCTCAATTGCCACCTTTATATCATGCCATACAAAAAATCAACATGCTTTCTGCGGCTGCACAATTAAAGCCTCTATCGGTTAAGCAAACCAGAGCAATCCCTAAAACCCACATCACAATGAAACATTTGTTTGTAATAACAGAACCAACATCCAACATCCCAACTCAAAGCCTGTTATCCATTTCAATCAATTCCCACAAAGATCAATCGCACAAGCAGCAGGAGAAGTCGAAGAAATTACCTGCCCTGGACTCCATTTGGGAGAGCCGAAGAACTTCACGTTTGGATTATTGGTCGTACGCGATGTTCTAACAATTACAGGAGAGCCGCAATTACAGATGACAGAAATCTCCTCTGGAATCTCGCCGGGAGTTTGTCGGAATCGTCGCGTGGAGCTCATTTGACATTGGCTGCCACAATTTCTCGCTCAGTTTGGCTTTGATATTGGGAGACAACAGGTGAACTGTGGAGAAGGGTTTTTATAACTAAAGAGAGGGTATTAATGCCATTCAACATAAAAAGTGTTTTATTCTTTTTCTTACAACAAAAACATAATATGACTTCCAAACATGGTATTTGCCCAATACATCAATTGATCCAATACATCAATTGACAATACATCAATTTGCAGAATCGCAACTTCCAAACGACCCCTAAGATTGTAAAAGGGTTCAACAAACAAACATTTGACACTCAATGCCAAACTTTATCTTCTATCTGCAATTTAGCCATAGCCTTTAGTTTTTGGAGCTTCCATTGAACCTTCATAGGAGTAAGGGTAACTTAACATAGTTTGTTCCCAAATTATCATCAAAATATCAAACACACTCGATCGAACATTGTTCGGAGAGGTGTGAATCGTATTGATTTTAGTTGTTCAAGAAATAAAAGGTGTAAAAATGACAAAATGTCAGATTGACCTATATAACTATGCACACCTCCTATCCCAGAAATTGGGTAAATGTTCTAATGCTCCTTCAACCATAGGAGAAGGTATGATGCTGGAACACCTCAGGTTTCCTTGTTAACGCGTTTGTTTCAATTCAACAATTTTGTAAAAAAAAAAACGTTATGAGATTTTGAAAAACAATATCTGTTAGAAACCGATTTCTGTAGGGTTTCTTTATTTACTAATATAATTATTAATAGGGAAAGTATCAATAAGGGTAGTAGTTATTTAGTAGGATTAGGTTTATTATTAGGGTTTCCTAGTACTCCCTATAAATATGTACTTGTGATTCATTAGTAGGCAGTCAAGAAAGAATTATCAAAGAATCTCCTAAACCCTAATCTCCCAAACCCTAATCTCCCTATCTTCTCAATTCTCGATCTCAATCCCTCTAAAGGCCTAGGCCGAATCCCTTCTGTTCTTCCCCAATTCTTTCCCAAATCCCTAATTCTATCTTCTCAATCCCTAAATTCCCAAATATCACCCAATCCAAATCCCGTTAGAAACTTTGTTTCTAACAATATCGTAATATTAGTAATCAAACTGGATAAAACAAGTCCCCTCAATGTTTTAAAGTCTCGTTAATGTCCATTTTTCCAAGGGTGGTACGTACTTGGTCTACACCAGCATTTCGGTATCAACATTCACGTGTGGTATTAATCTTGTCCGTTATTCAGTTCATGTACACAATCAATATGTATAATAAATACAAATAATAAGGAAAAGATCATATGTTCCTTTGTTTTTTTTTTCTTCTTCTTCTTCTTTTTTGTGTATATCAGGAACCAGACCCGGAACTGACGTCCGACACAAACTTACTGCTTCGCTTAGTAGCAACAAGCGGATTGTCCTCTTCATCGTAGTAGATCATAGTCTCTGTTTTATCAGATGGGTCGTGCTTGAAAACTGGATGAATGTAGGCATCTTGAAGGTACGTTCTCAGGTTCAGGTTTGGATCGGTAGCTCGCTCCAGGGTATCCCTCACCATGGCTTCCTGCAATGGGAATTTCACAAAGGCGGATTCGAAGCGCCCTTTGCAGAGCTTGTGGAACCACATTGTCAAAATAGGGAGAGGGATGAGGAAAGGGGACAGCTCCTCTGCTCCCTTCGTGTTCAGCAGACCCATTAGGAGCATCTGAGCTATCATTTGGCCGATAATCAAGCGTCGATGCACATCTGGCCAGTAGCCTGCTCCGCTCTCGTATTTTTGGTCGTACACATTGATGATCTGCCAGCAAGTAATATTCGTACAATGTCGGAAGAGTTTCTAGAAAATAACAGGTACAATATACAGAGCCAGTGTGCATTTGTGAGGTCAAAGCATTCAAGATAGGGAAAATGCGTGATACCTGATGGCGGAAGATGACATAGGCGAAGGCGAAGAAGACGAGGATGAAAGGGAGCAACAAGGGGGTGACAGCGGCGTAAACGAAACCAAGCATGAAATAGAGCTGTATCCGAGGCTCTGATATGGGGAAGCTTATGCTACCTGGGTCCATGGCTTGCTCTCTATCTTGCTCGGTCTTCACCAAAAACGTGTTCTTTAAGTGAAAGATGATCAATGGCACCAACCTGAGGACCTCGGCTGCTATTCCCGACCAACCATCCACCATAATGTAAGTGATGAAGAAGGTGGCTCTCATTGGGATCGACACACCAATTGTTTGTGGGATTCTAGGAGAAAGAAAGAAAAAAGAACAATTCTAATTAGAATATTATAGAACAACATTTCGAAAGGAGATCAGAGTTGAGTTGAACGTACTCGGAAGCAGACTGTTTCATGAATGTTTTCAGCTGCTCTAGAGCTGTCCCTGTAATGATGCTACCAAAGAAGACGTTGACAAGAAGGAACAAGTGATACTTTGAAGCTGCTCGCCTGTCCAAAGATGACAGTGAGTGAAATCCTTCGATTTTGGCCATCAACATGAGGATCGTTGGAAGTACAATGAGAAATATTTTCAGAGCAATTCCTGGAAGAAACCCTTGGACTATGGATTTGACAGAATCGCTGCGAGAAAAAAAGTGAACCATGGGAGACAGTTGAAGAAAGTGAAGTCCAATAAATTAAGCCTGGGTAAGAGATCATGTTCAAGCAACTTACACTTCTATAAGATGCTTCAAGAACGGGAAAACCTTTTCAATCCCCTCGATGGTGGCCAGAGACTGGACGAATGCTATAGGAATGACAAAGAAGAAGGTCAAGAAGAAGAGAGCAACCGCCATGAGAAACTTTCGAATAGTATGCTCCACATATGGTATGGCTAGGTTGCTCCAGTATACATCACGTGGCTCAGGAGCTCTCTCAGTCAACCACATTGTTGGGTTGCTTGATTGCTGAGTTTGTGCGCAAACCGCAGCTGCCCATCGGGATTTGAAAGATACAAATGCTGCTGGCATCACGGCATTAGCATCACTCAGAACCTTCTCCCTTTCCAACTCTTCCTGCATACATGCCAAGTTCTTATATTAGCCAAAACAGAGAACGGAATCGGTATGCTGCTGTCCTCTTGCGCTCTAGAGAAGCAAGATTTGGTGAAAGATCATACATACCTCTTTGATCAACTTCTCAATCTCAGATTCATAGTACTCGATTGCATCCACTGTGGTTCCGATAATACCCCACAGGCCTGTCTATTTTTAGGAAATTAATTACTTGCATTAGAAGCCAATATATATCAGGGAGATGCGTCTATTATGATACAGAGAACCTGCAGTGAAGACAACTTTCTTACTAAATACCTTTGTGGTTGGCCTTGTAGACGGGTTTCTATCGTATTTGTTTTGATAATAGGTTAACCAATTCCTCATCGCCTTCTTTGCCTCAACCACATCTGCAAGCTTGTTCGCATTGTATACCACCTAAATTATATAGGTTGAACTTTGAAGCATTACTCAGAGGCAGACAGACCATTAATATATGTCGAGACAGAGAAAATTGTGGCTATAACAGGTTGGAAATAGGAACTACCAAAGTAAATCTACGATGTTGGGGAAAGCTTTGATGAGTGTTTGGTACTCTGTCTTTATCTTAGCATGCTCAGTACTGGGAACGAAACAAAACATAATCAAACGCACCTGGTGAAGGAGATAATGCTCGGGATGATTCACACGAAAAAAGTGCTCGACGTGATCTGTCACTGATTCATCTGGATCTGCAGGAACATTTCTCACAAGAACCTACTAGAGTCAACACCAAACAAATGAAGGTTCAATTTGAAGCACAGACAACTTGCTCATAGGAAAAAAAGGTTTTTCAACAAATAATTATAATACGAACTTACGGTGAAGTGATCGGCGCGACGACTTTCTGCAGCCAAAAACTGCAGGCGCATGTTCGCTACCGCCTTGTACTCATGGTAGATCACGTAAAATGACCAAAACGTGAAGACATATGACATTATCGCATGGGCCCAAAACCTTCAATCATAGAAGGGAATGCTATTATAGATTGACAGTATCTTTGAATTGGAGTCATTAGAAACACCAATTTTATTTTAATGAAAGTACAAACCTACTTTGCAATACATTGAAAAGGGGAGCAGGGCCCATGCAAGGAGTCAGTTTCTTAACATTACATGTCAGATTTTATTGATTGCAAGAACATTCCAGTGATAATATTGAACGTCAAATCTAGACCAACTGCTATAAAATATATTTCACTTAAGAGTTTATCTATCAAGTCACGGACATTGTACCCATTTGCCTGAGTTATAAGCAGACTACTAAGGTAGACCAAACTGTAGCAACAGATAAAAATGTGCATCCCAGTATTATAAGTCTAGTGTATGATTTCGTTTATCCGGAGTATGCATAGAGGGGCGAAAAACAACTTCAAAAGCATAATAACTGAGATGAGATGACATATTGCTTCTCCATATGAACATACTCTAAACAACACACTTACACTGAAACACAAGAATAACATCATTAAGGGAACTCACCTTACAGAGTTTTCTGCGATGTTTGATATCGACAACTTGTCGATATCACTGTATGTCAAGTCTTTTATCTTATCCAGTGTTCCTCCAGTCATATTGACAGGGACAAGCACCGCCCAGGAGAGGAGTGTAATAGGAACAAATATTTTCAACCTGGAAAATCAGACATTCGATCCAAAGTGTGTTACGTTATAATGGTAAGGTGCTTCTAGCTTTATGGAAGTACCAATGATAAACTAGAGACGATAATCTTAAGTTAAAGAAATGCCAATCTACATACTGAAACTTAAAAGAGGAGGAAGAAGAAGCTACCCCATAAGGTAAATCCGTATATAGACTACAGAGTCAAGTCCAGCGTGTTCAATAAGTTCAGGTTCTGGCATCTGCAATGCTGCCGGCATCCAGTTCAGAAACCTTATGTAGGTTCTAGGATCCAGATTCACAAACTTCTTCATAAACCCCCCATGGTGCGTTGGGCTCCCTCGTATCCCTTTGAGATACCACTTAGGGAAGTACACTCTGTCGTTCACCGGCTGAAGCCTCAGCATCGCAAATGCGAAGAGGAAGGCGATTGCGGATAGAAGATTGATAGCTGCCGAATAACAAATGTCTTGAAGGGTAGCCATTTCTCGTGCTCAGAGCTTTAAAAACTTCACCTGGAAGCCAAACCATTAGGAAAAGAGTTATCAGCACTCGGTAGGCTGTATGCCTGTATCCACCTAGTTTGAAACTGGCCACTTCCAATCCTTCCACGGGAATCAGATTGTTTAAGCATATCAATGTCAAGAAACAAACCAGCCACAATTCTCAAAACTAGGCAGCTTAAACTTGTGCATCTGGAAGCTAAGCACACAAAATTACTCCAAGCAGCAGATATTATCACCACCACCACTTAATCAATTTAAGGAATTGACATTCCGCAAACCATTTCGAGAACTAAATTAGGGCAATCGAATCATGCAATCGGAGGATTTGCATGCTGAGAAATCTCGCGATTTCCATGATCGGCTAATCTCTAGAGCTAGAATCACACGCGAAGTTCGCAAAATTTTTCTCGGAAAATGTGAACGAAAATAGGCAATGAGAATCGGAAAAGAAGAAGACGGAGACGAAGAAAGGTACCTGGCAAAATTAGCGTATCGCCGGCGGCGGAGGAACCGGCGTAGAAGAGGGCAGGGAGGGCAGGAAAAAAAAAACAGAAAGGGATTGCAATGCCGTGAAAGTGAGAAGTCGATATTAGAAGGAGATGAGCGGAATTGTCAGGTGATTGTCCCGATCCGAAGGTTTGTTCGTTTCGCTGGTGTATATATCGTCGGCGTGAAGGTGACGGAGATTCCGAAAGGAGCCCGGCTGGCGGATGATTGGTATGGCGCCAAAGAAGTGCGGGGGCGGAGAGCTGGAGGGAGCCGGCACCAGCACAATGTTGTGATATGAGCTCGTGGGCTTCTTTTTGACGGTATTCAGTTAGCCGTAGACCTTTAGTTTGAATTTTTTCTTTTCCACTGCTTTTATCTGCGGTCAAGAAATTTTTTACTGTATTCATTATATAACTTGCAGTTGTATATTTAACATTATGATACAATATTAGGTTGTACGTACCTATACTCTTTTATAAAATCCATTTATGGACAAATTAAAGTTTTACCTTTATGTTGTAATAACTTCAAGTTGTACCTCAACATAAAGGTCAAATTCTCTTATAATACAACTTCAATTTGTCCCTTTTAACGTTATGATAAACTTCAAATTGTACTTTAAAACACCAATACTTTAAACCATAGTAGAAGTGCTCCTGCGTCATTTGTGTCCCAATAGATCTTTTCTTCATGATACCTGAACTTTAGAACAGTTACTAGAAGTTCTCAATCTCTTTCTTTACTGGCTAACTGGCTAAGCAATTTTTGTTGGATAGTTTTCTTTTATTGCTAAGCAATATAAAAGTCAAGTTTAGGGTTAACACTAATTATTGCAGGAACGGATTGCGAAATAAACAGTCGAGGAGCACATTGGCCTTTCTTTCGGCCTTACTTGCTAGTCCTTGTGGCGGATCAGAAATGACCGCGTTTTCACGTACAAAGTCATCACAATTGAAACTTTTTTACAAGGCGTCCTGGCGTGGATAACTGTCGTGAGTCAAGTCATGGACAAGGACCGGACTGTTCCCATCCGTGTCCGCCCATTAGAAAGGTGGAGTTGATCTCTTGGAAGTCGCCTCCTCCCGAGTGGGTCACTCTCAACTCCGATGGATCCGGTGGCCACGAAACAGGCTCTGCTATTGCGTGCTTGATTGGAGAGGGTAATAAGTGTGCGGATTTCCTCGCGAATCGAGGTCATGACTTGTCGTTGTTTCCGTTCCTTTCCTGTTGCAGACCCTTCTTTGATGTACTAGATTATGTATGATTTCCATGGGATTTCTGAGCCCCGTTTGGTTGTGGATGAAGGTTAGGATGCTCCGCATCCTTTTATAAAAAAACTAATTATAAGCCAAACCTTTTATACATTCTTTTTTATTAGCCAAACCTATTATAGTATGCAATATTAACCAACCGTTAAGTTTTTGTCCGAATTTACGTTAGTTGATGCTGAGGTGACATATTGAGCTCTGAGGTGGCATGTTTTTGTCACGTGGTACCATTTTATTATCTAATCTAAATCTAAATCTAAAGAATATAATATACACTTTCTCATTTAAGGCCTCACCATTTCAAATTTCCAGCATTCCTACGCATCCACGTCAACACCTCTTCCACCAATCAAAATTTAAAGAATAGTTTAATTCTTATTTAATATTTTTGTAAGTTTTTGAGTAATCCAATTAGAATGTGCCCTATCAAATTCTCTATCTTCTTTTTCAATCCCCTACCATTATTAATTGACCCGTAATTATTTCGTTTGAACTCCGAATTTAGTTATTTTTACGCCAATAAATCAGTTTTTATGTGATCTACACAACGTTATCCATTTTGATATATGTTAAAAACATCAAATTTAAAAATCATGGTCACACTCATAAAGTGGTAGGCAATGGGGGTTGGGTAGGTTTTGGTCTCGCTCACATTCTTCTGTGGGTTAGGTTGGGTGGTGGCGGATGAGTGCAGTTGTTTCATGAGTTAACTCGCAAAAGCAATTCTCCAACTAGCCATTAAGAAAGTTGACTAACATTTATAATAAGTTCCTAGCAAAATAGTAAGACTATATCAATTTAGACACTTCCAACTTTTTCTCATGTGAGTCCATGTAGTTGTAGTATTTGCATCAGAATTTTCATTACTATATCAAGCAATTGTGTAGAGAAAATTTACACATTTTGTGATTTTTTATATAATAGATAGTTTATAGTTTCCGTCACAATATCTAATAGATATTAACCAATAATTTGCATCATAATATATGATATCTCCACTTTAAGTAAGTGGTTAGTGTATAGTGTGGTTCAGAATAATGAAGAATACTCGATAGTATAAGAAATGTCATTCTTTTATGTGAAAATAGAGTGCGGGTCATCCGGGTGACCCGCAATCCACTCACCACCCACCTACATAAGTGGATGTATGAGATTTATCAATCTGTAATCCACTCATATCAATCATCCACTGTTGGCGGATTGTAAATCATTGATTTTTGCATTTTCATTATAATGTTTCTACATAATGTATTTTTACTTTGTACATTTTTCTGATACGAATTGCACATTTTGGATGTTACTTTGGGATTTTTATTTTTAAAATTGAAAAAAACTGATAAAAAATAAAGAAACAAAGAAAAACCACGTGAGTGGGAGGTTTAAAAATCACTTATTAGTGATTAATAAAGAAATAACAGAATTATTAGTAAAAAAAAGAGGAAGACGCGCGCATGACCCATGAGCGGGAAAGGGAAATAAAACAATAAAGTAATCACTTTTTTATAATACCATAACTACTCTTTTCATTAATTAAATATCCATTCCCATTTTTTAGCCATTAGATTAATATATCTAGATTCAAGGGCTGGGTAGGGCTTAGTCACTTGACTACGGATCCTCCCTCATTGAGGATTCTGGAGTTTTAGAGCGCACTCTTATCAATTAGGTATTCACCCTAATTATGGTGAGCAACATTATACTGATTGCCTTTAATCTCGAGTTGAGATTATTTAGATGATTTCTATATCGATTGCCCCTTTTCACGAGTGAGTTCTGATCGATTGGTTCCACCTATCTATGCTATTTTGGTTCGAGTGATTGAAGTTGTGCAACTTTGATAGTATCAGTATGTTAGTCTAAATATTTAAACTATCAGTTTTTTTCTTGTTACTTCAATTTAGATTATACTTACTATTTACTCATATCTATTCTCCTAATTTTTTGTGTTTTTAGGAACATCATATGTGACTGTGCAACTATTCTTCAAATGTCTTTCGGATATTTATGAGGTCATAACCACATTGGAGCAAGATGCAGATGCTAAGATACGACGCATGACTGTGAGGATTAAGACGAAGGTAGCAAAGTATTGGAATGAGTCAGATAATGAGGAGAATATAAGGATGAATCGTGTGATCTACATAGCATGTACGTTAGATTCGAGGCACAAGTTGGCCTATGTTGAATTTATCTTGAAACATATGTATGGAAAAAATAATGGAGAGGCAATGGCTAAGGATATTCAAGAAGAGATGGGTAAGTTGTTTGAAGATTATAAAATAAAGCTCCCGCAAGCTCCTGCCTCAACCCTCAAGTGTGGCTGCTATGGGATTAGTACAGGTGTAGGAGCTAGAGCTACGTGTGCCACCACACCCAGTGGGAGTTCGAGTAGTGGTGTTGTGATGGGAGGGAAGATGACTTCTGAGTTCAAGAAGAAGAGGATAGAAGAGCTTGATTCGGGTATTCGAAGTTATTCAAAGTTGGGCATCTATCTAAACGATGTAAATGATGCTATTCTTTTCGATGATGAAGATGATAGCTTTGACATCCTTAAATGGTTATCCGTCAGTAGCATTAGATATCTCGTACTTTCTGAAATGGTGCGGGATATTTTGGCTATTCTGGTTTCTTCTGTTGCCTCTGAATCTGCTTTAAGCACAGGAGGTCGAGAGTTATCCTCAATTAGATCCTCTTTGACCTCGAAGATGGTGGAGGCACTAATCTGTGCAGAAGATTGGATACTATTTCCTGATTCCCAATTGTCCATATTGAAGAGGATCCCGAAGAGCTAATTGAGTTTGAAAGTTGTAATTTATCAGTTCTTCCTTTTCATTATGCTTTAGTTTTTATATTTGACAATTTGCCTATCTTAGTTTTCCTTCTCATTATGATTTAATTTTCATGTACTTTATGATGCTTTATACAAGCTCGAATGGGTAGTCAAAATGGGAGTGACCTTGATGGTATAAGTCAGAGTCTGTTGATCCTACTCCTACTCCTACCCCCCCCCCCCCCCCTCCCCCCAACAGTTGATGTTGATCGACTTGATGCTGTTGATTATGATTCTGATATCAATCCTGATGACGAGAATTAAGATATTGGAGTAAATGATGATTATGGGCTAGAAGATTTGGAGCAAGATCCTCGAATTTAGTTTGATGATTTGGAGTTTATGAATTTGTTATTTGTGGCTGATTATGTATGTTGGAGTGTTTGATTTAGACTTTATGTTCAAGTGATTTAGATGACTTTAAGGTGTGTGATTTAGATGACTTTATGTTCTAAGTGTTTGGTTTTAGACTTTAAGAGTTGAGATTATATATGTATTTCTGTAATGTAATTGTGTATTTGTGTTATTGTGATTTGTGAGACAGTGAGACATTAAAATTGGCAGGAGGCAGCGGCTGAAATAGTCTTAACCGAAAATTCAGACCGAAACAGGTCACCCAAAATCGATTTCGGACCGAAAACCAAGTAATCGAGCAGACTTGTGGTCTCGGCTAATCGCAGCCCTAAACCGAAATCGTCGTTTGCGGTTAGCGGTTAACCAAAGGTCATGTTGGTCTCGGCCTCAGTTGGCAGTTCTGGAATATCCTCGGGCCTATGAGATTTTGGTTAAACCATAACCGCATAGAGTTCACAATAATACCGCCGCTGGGATCTTTTGAATCATCCGCACGTTGAGCTCGGCTATGTATCTATTCTTGATTAACTCTGGTCTGAGTCTATGAGATTTTGTTAATTTCTTAGGATTCCTTTTCCCTTTTTCCCCACATGCACCTTTTAAAAAAAAATTGCCTGTAATAATGGTCTCACTGCGTCTGCATGCATGGCTTTATTTCCTTTCTTAAAAAAGGATAATTGCATGGCTTTATTCCTCATCATGTAAAGCTTTATAAGTGTTTCCTTTGTTGCTAATTATATTATTATTGTTATTATTATTAATTGAAAAAAAGGGTCTACCAAAAGTAAAAGTATGGAGTGGGAAGAGGCAGTAGTGCGATTGACACAGTTGTTCCTTTGCGTCTTTACACGGGCATGGACAAAAGCCTCACCATTCCATCCCCAATCAGCATTGCATAAGTTATTTCCATGTAAATTGTTATGGAATTGATTGGAATATACACTAGTACGAATGGTAAAAGAGAACCAAAATTCAATTTCGGGTGAAATTATATTCGTGTAATTTCAACTTTAGAGAAAATTCATACTATATTTTATTTAATTTGAATTTCCTATATACTTATTATTGGGTACTTAAGAAAATAAAAAGATACTCAATTCTAGTATGAAAACACGTAGTAAAATGACCGATATTGTTCTCCTCTTTTTTTACACAAGTTTTGATCAAAATATACTCATTTGGTTTCCTACCGAAATGAGTTTACCCAAATTGGATCCACCTAAACCAAAAATCATTAAAAGTGCAAATGAGTTTATTTGGGTTCAACCCATTACCCATAATTGGACCAAAGTCCTTAATGACCGACTTATTGTCATACCTAGTGTACACTTCTTTCCAGATCGATTGATAGTGGAGTTGACATCCATTAACCATTTCACTTTCGCTTTGTGCGCGAATTGGGATTCCTTCACTATTCCAAAACTTGGGTTATGCTTTATTTCTCACCTTTTTAGTTTGAATATACGAGTGGATGCATTCATCGAAAAAGTATCATTCCACCTCTTCAACTTCCTTTTTCATATAATATATCATGGTTCAAAAAGACACGCTTAACCTTACACTTAGGCACGCTTAACTTTACGCTTAGGCACGCCTAGGAGCAAGGCAATGACAAAACGTCTCGCCTAGGGGTTTTGCGCCTAGTTAGATACCGAAACACGTCAATGGAGTAAGGCGGCATATAACTCTCTCCTAAACATAACTAGATGGAGCTAGAAACTCAATATTAAAGGATAAAATTAACGTCAACTATAAAATCAATTTTCTATATCCATATTTTCATTAGCTCAATAACTTTGTGACCTATTGAGCTATGATTCTATGAATTCGTGACATATATTCTTGTCATTAAGTGTTGAGTGAGTAAGTTATTAATCATTTTAACTGAAGTGTGGAAGTGTGGTAGATTATTATGGCATTCATCATGCAGTGCGAATAGCTTTTTTTTCTTTCAACGCCTAAGCACGCTAAGTCTATGTCTAGGCAAGCTAGGCACTAGGCAAAGCCTCAACGCTCGCTTTACGCCTAGCGTCTTTTTGAACTGGTAATATATGCACACACAAATACTCAAACCCCCCTCATCCCATTCCCCTCTCTCCCCACACATTCCCTTTTCCACACACCATGGCAGCTCGCCGCCATTATTCCCTTCTCCCAACCATCACACTACTCCTCCTCTCCGCCGCCGGCGACGACACAAAAGACGGGTTCGTCTACGGCGGCTGCACCCAACAAAAGTACACCCAGCACTCACCCTACGAGTCAAACCTCAACTCCCTCCTCACCTCCTTAGTCAACTCCGCCACCTACTCCTCCTTCAACAAGTTCACCATCCTCGGATCCGACGTCGTTTCGGGCCTCTACCAGTGCCGCGGCGACCTCTCCATGCCCGACTGCGCCACCTGCGTCGCCGCCGCCGCCTCCCGCTTCTCCTCCCTCTGCCCCGACAACTGCGGCGGCGCCGTCCAGCTCCAGGGCTGCCTCGTCAAGTACGACAACGCCAGCTTCCTCGGCGTGGAGGACAAGTCGGTGGTCCTCAAGAAGTGCGGGCCCTCCGACGGCTACGACGCCGACACGGCGGCGCTCAGGGAGGCCGTGCTGTCCGGGCTCGCGGGCCGGACCGGGGCCTACTATCGCGTGGGAGGGTCGGGCCGGGTCCAGGGCCTGGCCCAGTGCGTGGGGGATTTGGGCCCGGCCCAGTGCCAGGATTGCTTGGGGGAGGCGATCGGACGGCTGAAAGGAGAGTGCGGGACGGCGGATTACGGGGATATGTTTCTGGGGAAGTGTTACGTGCGGTATACAAGTAACGGCGCTCACTATAGCTCCGGCGACAATAATTACAACAAGGCTCCTCACTATGGTAATTAATTAATTTAGTAGATTTTGAATAATTCGATTTAGTATTGTGATTCTGACGTTCTTAATACGATTGTAGCTGGGAAATCTACAAGCGGGACAGAGAAGACATTCGCAATTATAATTGGGTTACTAGCGGGAATTGCTGTGCTCATCATCTTTCTTACTTTCTTAAGGAAAATAATCGGTGGAGGAAACGGTAAATCTCTCAATCTTTTTACGAATTTTTTATTATATATTTTGCTAGTAATAAATAGACGTTAGCATGTGCTGATGCAACATTTATAATTTGACTCAAAATTACATGTTTTTTTGTTGCAGGTAAATAAAGTAGAACAAATCTATTCCAGAGATGTCGCCTCCAACTCTTTAACATGTCTGAAGTCTTCCATTCAATTGATTTAACTGCTATATATGCAGCATTGTTACATTACATCTTTCTGATTGGCTTTGTTCTTCTTTTTCTCGCTTGCTACACATAAATAGCTTTTTCTTCTCTTTTTGTCTTTTCTTTTTACCCTCATGACAAGTCAACTTTGCACTTTCTTATTCCACTCTAGCCTCCTTTGCGAATTCATTAAAAGTAGGTCAAATATGGAGCAACAAATAATATACCGTAAGTTTTAGAATCTATTTTACTATTTATTACTATTTATGTTCTGAAAATTCTCTAAAATACATTTATCGTGGAAATTATAAGAGAAGTTAAGATACCACGGCGAAAAATTAGTCATGATTACACAACTCATCTTATTCTATGTGTTTCTTTACTTTGTTTATTATATAGTAAGTTCTTTTCAATACTTGCAATGGCAACCGATAACAACATACACTTTTAAATTTCGAGTTTTTATTTATATTAAAATCAAGGTGGTGCAAATCACCCACGTTATCCTTAGCATTTCAAGAAAACAATTGCGATGTGTCGCTTATAAGCCCGTTAATCGTATGTAGCTAATTTTTTGAACGACACCTTGGTTTTCCATACCATTCCCATTTCCAGAAATCAGAGTAGTAAATTAGAATATCATTCTAAAACAGAAGCAAAAGTCTCAATAATTTCCTCAACAGCCTTTATATATCCTCTTGTTTGTTAATGGTCTTCATTCTTCAATTGATTCCTTCAAATGGACCTAGGAGATAACAATAATATTTCATTAAATATCAATAAGAGAGTTGTTATGCATCGAATCCATTCACTTATCAATCGAGAAGGTAGGGAGAAAAAGCGTAATGAAAAATCAATCAAGAATTCATCCAAATCCATCGATCACATCCGGACCTAGATGCATTAATTTATCGTGGATTAATTGCTTCTCTAAGGCGTATTGGACGAATTTGAGATATAGTTATATAATAAATGGGTTTTGGACTTTCTTATTTCTAGTTAGAAGTCCTAACATGCACTTGTTTTTATCACTCACCCAATCTAAAGTAATCATGTGTCATTTAAATCAAGCAAGTTACCAAGAAGTAAAAACTATAGCAAGCCATTTAGCATAGCATCTTCCTTCGCCTACATTTCCATGACCAACCGACAGTGGTCTACGAGTTCCAAAACATCGAAGGAATGTATGCCAAAATATGCTATGTTGATCCTCGAAGAAAACAAGGTAGGATTTAGTTGAAAGTTGAACCCTTTAATCATATAACATTGAGATCGTTTTCATTTTATATTACAGAGATCAAGATAACTATTGTGACCGAGAATTTCACTATCCATAAACTCTTTTCCTCTCAAAGTGTTATAGGCAATCCATTCTCTCACCACAAAATCCCATTGTCAGTATCACACAATCATTTTTCGGGTTGCCGTTTCGGTTTCAAACTCCCTCAACCCTAACTGCTTGCCTATCTATCGAATTCTCAAAACAATAACAAAGAAATTTAGTTAGGCTTACACCCAAAATGCCTAATCAGCTGTTTGATACTCCCTCAACCCTAACTGCTTGCCTATCTATCGAATTCCCAAACAATGACAAAGAAAGTTAGTCAATCCATTCTCTCACCACAAAATCCCATTGTCAGTATCACACAATCATTTTTCGGGTTGCCGTTTCGGTTTCAAACTCCCTCAACCCTAACTGCTTGCCTATCTATCGAATTCTCAAAACAATAACAAAGAAAGTTAGTTAGGCTTACACCCAAAATGCCTAATCAGCTGTTTGATACTCCCTCAACCCTAACTGCTTGCCTATCTATCGAATTCCCAAACAATGACAAAGAAAGTTAGTCAATCCATTCTCTCACCACAAAATCCCATTGTCAGTATCACACAATCATTTTTCGGGTTGCCGTTTCGGTTTCAAACTCCCTCAACCCTAACTGCTTGCCTATCTATCGAATTCTCAAAACAATAACAAAGAAAGTTAGTTAGGCTTACACCCAAAATGCCTAATCAGCTGTTTGATACTCCCTCAACCCTAACTGCTTGCCTATCTATCGAATTCCCAAACAATGACAAAGAAAGTTAGTCAATCCATTCTCTCACCACAAAATCCCATTGTCAGTATCACACAATCATTTTTCGGGTTGCCGTTTCGGTTTCAAACTCCCTCAACCCTAACTGCTTGCCTATCTATCGAATTCTCAAAACAATAACAAAGAAAGTTAGTTAGGCTTACACCCAAAATGCCTAATCAGCTGTTTGATACTCCCTCAACCCTAACTGCTTGCCTATCTATCGAATTCCCAAACAATGACAAAGAAAGTTAGTTAGGCTTACACCCAAAATGCCTAATCAGCTGTTTGATGGGCTAAAAAATAATGAAGGAAAAAAAGAAAAGAAGAAGAGCTCAGCAATGCCATTTTCGACCTTCACTATCGTGAGCGTGCAGAGGACCAACCCTGCAGTGGCGTGTTTCATCATAGCTCCCAAAGAATGCACCAACCGGGAATCAAACCCGGGTCTGTACCGTGGCAGGGTACTATTCTACCACTAGACCACTGGTGCTAATGTTGATAACCACTTAAGTAGTAACATTATCTACTTATGTTTTATCGGAGTAGTGGATGAGAGATGAAAAGAAACATTTTCCAATCTATTGTGGATAATCACTCATGTTTGGGTTTGCAAACAAACATTTTCCAATCTATTGTTTTCGTATTTATTTCTTCCTCCATATATCTCATAAATGAATTGCCCCCACATTATTTATTACTTTTATCTTCGTCCCAACTCCCAACATTGTTACTTTTATGTGTGATAAACAGGTAAGTCATTTATCGATTTTAATCTATACCAAATGGAAAACATGGTCAGCAGTTAAACGTGAACACATAATCTCTTAGTATTTCGGTTTCTTTAGTTGTATTTTACTTTGTGGTTAACTGGTAAGAAAAAGGATTATCTCCTACTACTATAACCACATAGTTTTGAGTTTTGACTAAAATGAAAAGTCTCAAAATTCAAAACCAGCCAAAGTCACAATTCTAAATATCCCAATTCAAACCTATTGCAAACAATTCTCCACTCAAAGTCTAAAAAATGTTTAAGAGACATCCTCTGAAAAGTCAACCCTTCCGTTTGCAGTCGACAGAGCAAACATGGCACCCTCTCTTTGATATTTTTGAAATGTGAACGATGATAATATGTTGTGCTTGTGTTTGAGGTCTTATTAATTAGTATTCTCTAATTGAATGAACACGTTTGATTATTTGTAATGTTATGTGTTGATATTTGAATTTGGATTAAGAATTGCATTACATAGATGTTATTTCTTTCAATGAGGGTATTTGAAGCGATTCCTTTTAGACTCTTTTTTTTTTTACGAATTGACTCTGGTGATGGATCGGGGCAATTCATACGTAGGAAATTCTCCAACCAAAGGGTTGTTTTTCAAGCTGAGGGAAGGTTTGTTTGGGCTTACCGGCTCTTACCTCAGGTTTTGCTTTCTTGCCCCTTATTTTATGTTTATAATGTGAAGTCTAGTTAAATTATTTTGAATTATCTATATGGTTATAAAGGACACCTAACTAAAAGCAAACTTATATCACCCTTGTAAATGGGACACTATACAAAATATCAAAATAACAACACATATGAAGGTTGTTATTGATTAATGATTAGCCACTAACCGAATCGGTTACAAGCAAGTAACTGATAAATCTTATCATTTCGATTTCCGATATCCAACTCGAACTCAGCTTGACTAGTTCCCCTTTCATAAACAAAAATTACCACCCATGAAATGATAACAGATCTTGATCTTAATTTCTCAGTTCTGCTGCAAGTACAAACAGGAGAAGGAATCCGAATCTCACGACCACCACACACACATACCAAATTTACTAAAAGCGCTCTCTTTTCTTGGTCAACACCATCTCATACCACAAAACCAGAACCGAAATGTACAAATAGGGCTCGAATATACAACTAGGGTAACCACACCGATAACCCATCTTGCTCATTCCTTTCTTCGCATGATTGTGCATTTACTTCTCATTCCTCGTCTCCGAGTTCTTTCTTGATATGTTTCTAACAATATAGTAAAAGATCAACCGGTTTCAGATGCCATGAATTTGAACCGAGTGGGAGAGAGAGATACTATAGGGTGAATAGAGGACGAACCTCAATCGCCAGAGGAGCAACGGTTGGGCCAAACCGACCCACAATTTGCCCATCTTTGTTGATCAAGAACTTGGTGAAATTCCATTTTATCCTTGAACCCAGGAATCCACTCTTGTATGTCTTCAGGAATTTGTACACTGGTGCAGCCTGATTCCCATTAACACGTACCTAAAGCAACAGAGATTAGTTAAGGGCACTATTACAGTACAAATAAAGAGTCCTACAAACAACCTATTGACAAGCAATCACTTCTGTGTTTGAAATAGGGAAAACCGGCAATGGAACCCTATCCGATAAGTAGAGTTTGGATTAAGAGAGACTGGGGAGTGCGAGATCAACGGATCCAAACTGCTAATAACAGAATCAAATGGAAGATTGCATATCACTTCAAAATATTCATATCCAAAATAAACTTTGAAGCGAACATCAAAACTTATAAAAAGGAGAGGTGATGTGTGAAACATCTAGAGGATCGTTTCAGAGGGAATCATTTTGGGGTGGTACTGTGAGTCAATCGTAGACACAGTAGCGAGCAGATGTAATCAAACAGGTTGCAATGCAAGTCACATCCTTATCAAAGACACTTAAATCAAACAGAATCCAAGGAACCTCATGTAAGGTACTGCCATAAGAGCGTCATACCACCAATAAAACTCCATTCATGCAAGCATCAAAGAAGAACGAAACAAAAACGCCTCAATTCGTTGGCTTTTTGTTAATCACCTTATGGAAAATTGGATACTCGGCCTTATATCTTGTACAAGCAAACTCCTGTGCCTCCTCACTCGAGCCTGGCTCCTGATTCAAGAATTGATTGCACGGGAATGCTAGAATTTCGAAACCTGTTAACCAAGAATAGAACTTGATGACACTCTGGCGTTCTGCTTCTTAATCAACACACAGCCTAAGGTTCAAAAGGAAAAAAGAAACTACTCCCACGAGAATCAACAAGTGACAACTTCTGATTTTCATAAACCAAACAAGTAACTGAGACTGCATCTCTTGGGAGTTGGGAGTTCCCCCAGCTCCAGGTAACCAACTAACTCATACGTGAAGATGTTTGACCAAACATTCTAAATCAGCTTCACGAATTATTGGATGGTATCTACTGAAGAGAGTTACATTAGAGTAAATTTTCCTTCCGGTTGTTTTAAGAGCTAGGTAGTTACACACAGTAACTTCAGCCAACTGACACTTGCCGATTCCCCCACATAATTGAAGCTTCTCTATGAAGAACAGAGACAGGGAAAGAAAGTAAGCGAACCTCGGTCCTTGTATTTGCTATACAGATCAGTCAACTGGGTGTAATTCGAATCCGTGAATCCACTGCTCCAACGAAACACACAGAAAAGGGTAGGGGAAATGAGAACCCTTTCATCCCACAAAGACAAAGCGATTAAACAATTCAAGGATAGAAATGGAGACATCATCAACAGATTAATTACCATCTGGAAGCTACATTAACAACGAGAAGAACCTTCCCCTTGTAGTCGTTAAGTTCAACATCCTTACCTCTGCTGTCCTGCGCATCCACACCAACCCCAACATGATAAGAAAACACAGAACGAAACAGCTCAGAGTGGGAATTACAACACATGGGTCAGATTTCACAATGAGTAAATCTCAAACCTTGACGGTGAATTCATGGATAGATTTCTCAGGGACAGATGCTGAAACCCCCATTCCTCAAAAAGCGATACCCGCCGGTTGCTACCGTCGAAGCAGAGGCGGTGTGGGAACGGTGGTGCTATCGCGACGAGGGAGAGAAAGAGAGGAGGCGTCGATTGGAATTGGAACTCCAAAAAGGATGGATATTTTGGTTTCCTTTTCCCTCTTCCTATCTTGATGAAAGCTTATCCCTATACGATTAATTGGCTGGGTAGTTGGGTTGGTCTGGAAGAAATAGAAGAACAGCGGTATCGCAATTAATATTTGACAGATAAGGTGCGTGTGTGAGTTGGAACTTGGTTTGGCCAGAGCGTCGGGCAGTTCCGTCGGTGGGGAGAGCCAAATGCGAAAGCGGCGAATGAAAGAAATTGGCGCTGCAAATGTGAAACGGGGAGAGGACTGTGGAAATTTGTAAAATAATTAAGGGTTGTATTTGATTCACTAAAATTATAGTCAAGTGGACTTGTTAGTTGGTAGTCTAAACTAAGGGCTAAATTGCAACTTCCATCACTAGAATTACTTAAAAATTTCACGTTTGCCATTAAAATTAATTTATTTCATCAGTTGTCACTTAAATTAGGTTAACAGTTCAAGTTTGGTCACTAGCCGTTAGTCTCCGTTAACTTTTGCTAATGTGGCGGTCAACTCTTATAATTGACCGTTAAAAGAGTGACTTGGCAATTAAAAAATTAATAAAACCATTTAATTTAATTATTTTTTATTTTCCACCTAATTATTATAAACATTAAAAAATCCCAATTCCTTTAATTATTATTTTTCCACCGCCCGTCCCGTTCCTCTTCCGGTCGGCCAAGCCCCGCGCCATCACAGTCTTCTCGAGATTGGGGCTCAGAATCTTGAGCTCCTTGACGCGAGATAGCCTGAACAAACAGAGTGACTGAAGCGATGGGCAGCAAGAGATCAAGTCATTGAGAACTGCATCCGTCATTGTGCAAGCACCGTCGATACATAGCGATTTCAGGTTAGAAGGCGGAGGAGATACGTTAAGGTCGTCTTTAATTGATTCGTCCAATGTCAGGGTTTTCAGAGAGTGAGCCCCTGTGATATGAATCAATTGGGTGAAGGGCAGCTCCGGACAGTGATGGATTTCAGGTTGGGATGGTTACAAACTTCAAGCATGTCGGTTTCTTCTGATCGCCTGTTCAAGTAATCCATGGAGCCTAGAGTCAATTCTTCAAAGAGAGGGGCGTCGGTGATGATGCCGTTGAGAAATCGGCCGCCATCGACGGCGAAGTGGGTCAAAGAGAGCACCCTCAGATCGACCATTGGATCGAGACAAGGAGATTCCATGAAACTGAAGTCGTGGAGTTTGAGAATCTTTAGATTGGTTAATTGATGAGGGAGGAGGACCGATTGATGCCCATATTTGAATTTAATGACCATCTCTGCTAGCCACGGCGGGGAGCGCATCATGTTCAAGACGGTGATGGTGCGGGGCTTGGCCGGCGTGAAAAGGTCGTCGACCGGAGGGAAGAGGAACGGGGACGTGCGATGGAAAATAATAATTAAAGGTATTAGGATTTTTTAATTTTTATAATAATTAGGTGGAAAATAAAAAATAATTAAATTATTTTATTTTATTAATTTTTAATTGCCACGTCACTCTTTTAACGGTCAACTATAAGAGTTGACCGCCACATCAGCAAAAGTTAACGGAAACTAACGGTCAGTGACCAAACTTGAACTGTTAACCTAATTTAAGTGACTACGGATGAAATAAATTAATTTTAGTGGCAAACGTGAAATTTTTAAGCAATTCTAGTGACCAAACTTGCAATTTAGCCCTAAACTAATTATATATTTATATGTCAACACGTTAATCGGATAGCCACTTCGTGTTTTTTTTATTACCCGGGAACATTAACCTCACGTGTCACTTTGTGACAGCGTGTCCTACTAAATTTGAGAGTCACCTGCAATCAAATTCGACGCCAACGGAGCTTCCCCTTCGACCTTCGTATTAGTACTTTGTTAACAAATTTGTTAGAGATATTATGGTAAAAATTTTACATAAGAGTTTTTTTTTTATTTCCAAGTTTTAAAGGGTGCAATGCGAGGACTTTTCATCGTGTATTTGAGGAAAATTTCAACATCCCGATCTTTTCCTGAGCAAGATATTGTCCGCTTTGGGTTTCCACCCTCACGGTTTTCGACTTGGGGTGCAATTCAAAGTGACTTCCCATAAGGTCACTCATCCTTGTTGTACTGCGCACTGAGCACGTTTAACTTCGGAGTTCTCCCAAGAACTCCTGGATCTCTCCCGTGCTATGTCGATGTAGGATTTGCCTAAGGTGTTGCATACACCCCCCCCCCCCCCCTGGGGCTCAACGCCCTCGTTGAAGTTTGCCCCACCATCGTATAAGAGGGACGCGGAGAGGCTCTAATACCACTTGTAACATCCCGACCTTTTCCTTAGCAAGATATTGTCCGCTTTGGGCCTCCACCCTGATGGTTTTCGACTTGGGGTGCAATTCAAGGTGACTTCCCATAAGGTCACTCATACTTGTTGTACTCCGTACTGAGCACGTTTAACTTCAGAGTTCTCACAAGAACTCCTCCATGACACCCCAAAACGCGTCTTGTCAATTAAAGCCGGTTTCCTACTTATGAACCATGGATCTCTCCGGTGCTTTGTCGATGTGAGATTTGCCTAAAGTGTTACAAAAATCCTCCATAACCCCAGTGTACACCATACTTGTGTCTGAAGAAACTCTCATCGGCAGCCTGCACTGCGAAACAAAGCTGAGCCACAACCATATACAAATGTTTATAATGTCAAATATCTATATTTTCTTAATGTTCATATTTGGACAAATTACTCCTTTTTTAAATAAACCAAGCGAAATACCTTAAAATGTAGCTTAGGAACATCCAGCAGGAGATTTTCAATTAGTTACCACCCATTTCTGAGGCAACTTTTCCCTTAATCACCATCATTCTATTTTGACAAGACTTATCTGAATGTTTAGTTCAGCAGCAGAAATGTTCAGCAAATCAGGTAGGAACAACTGCATCAACGCAGCAGCAACGATCTCAACATTTCATACGCGTGACAGATAACAATTTCCAGCATCTTACCGCCAACTGACCTGTTCTACATAACGAAAGTAAAAATTCTTGGACCACACCATCGGTAGCTAAACTGATAAAAGCTCTCCCCATTGTTTTCAATTCTTATAAAGACACTCGACTCTTCACCATTCAATGGACAACCAAAAATTCCTACGTTACTTCCTGAGGGAAGAAAACGACTATAAGGAGAACATTTAGCAAAGATGATACACAGAGAGCGCCTGCATACAGGTAGTTTACACCTCTTATACTCTTGAAGCCAAAGAGTTATGCCTTCACCGCCATATTTTCTGGCATTTTGCAGAAGCATTCCTGAAGGTTACATATATACAGAAGGAATCCACAGTTGACCGTCGTCACCAGCCACTTTCAAGCGTCTCGCCCTTATATCATTTTATCTCGAATATGCTATACAACATGAAACCAACATCCCTCTTTTGCAGTGAAGCGCCGAAATCAGACTACACCGCCCAAACTAAATGTAATCCAGCATTGCACTGTTACCTCTCAGACAAAATGCACAACCATGATTGTATAGCAACACAGGCAATGCCTATATGTTGTCTATCTGTGCCGCCACATGTTGGGACCTGAAATTGAAAATGATGCCACAAGATTAGCAACTTCACTACTGGTTGAAAAGGGTTCATTTCAAGTTAAAGAAAGACTACGAGAACGTCAATCGGCACTTTACTGTCAAATCTGGAAGTTCCCTCGCTAAGAGACATACCTCTGTTCGTCACCGAAACCGGACCATCAGAATGCATGAATTCCCTGTGATGACCCCTAGGAGGATATTGCCATCCTTGATGATGCGGTAACCTTGGCTCACGAGAGGGCCTTGCATAAGGGGCAGGCTCATATGACGACCTGGACTTTTCAGGATATCGATGTCCTAGAGAAAACAAGAAAACAAAATTAGAAGGGTCAACATTAGCTAGTCCAGAGAAAGGGGGAAGCAAATGAGGAAATGAAACAAAAGAGAAAATCAGCAGTAACCTACCAGGATAGGGGGGTGCACCATATCTCCAGTTCTCACCAAACTCGTATGGGCCAGGTCTCATTCTGTCATGATTGTTATAAAAGTTGCCACTTTCACTATCATGTGACGAGTGGTATCTATGTGAGGAGTATGACGGTGGTGGGGGTGGCGGGGGCGTCTCTCTCCTGGATTTTATGTGTTGGCCGCCTCCATGAACGTAAGAATAATGGTTCGCCGGCGGAAGATGAGATGGTCTTGGAGGATGAGACTTATGGCGATAGCTAGGTCCATCTATATAGTGACCATTGCTCATCCCACGCCCCGAAGTATTGCAATTGTCATAAAACTGCAGGTCTGCCTGATCTCTACTACAGTCAGAAGGATGGCAATGTGAATTCCTGTAAGGCCTTGCATCAAGACTATTACTGACATGGGCATCACGCGTTCCACAGGATTGATGGCCAACAGCTGGCGGCAGAGGAGGTGGAGGTGGAGGTGATGATGGTAATGGAGGACATGATGGCGGCATCTCCTGCGGCAATGGTGGAGGAGCATATTGAGAAGGAAAATGTTGTTCAAACTGGCCGTGTGAAGCATTGTTGGTTGAGGAACTCATTTCCACTTCACATATTGGGGCCACATCCTCCATTTCCAGTTCCCCATCCACATCCTCCAGAATATGAGTATGCTTTTCAGGAGCAATAGGTCCAGAAAACTCTCGTTCTTCAAGGGTGGTTTCAAAATTATGTTCGGGAGTGACTGCCTCAAAACTGCCTCCATCAGAATCACTTCCTTCATCTTCGTCCTTCAGCATGCGAGGCATACAAAATCCAGGAAGCTGAAAACTTGAATTGCTGAGGTTATAAAAGAAAAATATTAGTGAAAATCTCAACAAATAAAAACTTGGTGGCCACTACAACAGAAGCATTTAGAAGAATTTAAACTTTTGGTCAAACCTTCCATATTCGTCCACTAGCATACCCTCCATGTCTCTAATAGGATCATCCAGAGCCCTTTCTGTTCTTGCCGACCGACGACAGTATGGAGCAGCAGAAGTTGATGCACCAAGTGAATCTAGCTCCCGAATGTGATGCCGGATAAAGGATTCAGGAAGAATTCTCCTTTGCAACCAAAGCCGCAGAACCTATATTCAAGAAAGAGAAACAAGATGAAAACAACATAAGGGATTTGCTGCTAGGCTGTATGTACAAAATATATAGGGTTTCCTGGCTTGCCTTTAAACACTGTCTCCGATTTTCTAGAGCCAAATTTCCGGGAGGAGCAGCAGAAGATAGCAGCCGTGGCAACACTGCTTTAATAGCAGAAGTGTACGCACCACTAACATCACCTGTATCTAAAACATCAGCAAAGTATACAGACTCTACATTCATTATTTATATCCAATAAAAAGGCAAGAGACCTTCACCTTTCAAGCCTCGAGAGCATTGAGCAACAGAATCGACAAGGAAAAACAGGTCCACCCTTCTGTGTAGACTTGATTCACATTCCAATGTACAAGCTAGAATTTCCATTGCCTAGTTTGAAAATGAACAGAGCAAATAGCATGGAATTAGTCCACCTTACAACTCCTAACAGAGTAACTGTATGCATAACTATTCACTCCGAAATAAGGCTTCCAGTTCACTTCAACATTGCGGGTTAGAATAGAGTTAAGCAAACGAGGTACCAGGAAAGTATAAAGTTTGAGCACCGAAGCACATTTACGAGCTTTTCATTCTTTCTTTCTACCCAACTCCAAAAGACCAATTTATTTCTCAAAATCCTTCACTGAAGCCAAACATAAAAAAAATTATTACCAAACTTCAAACTGAAAACTGAGGATCAGTTCAAACACCATGTATTACAAGTGTCATATTAGTTAACACTTTGGCTGTCAAAACCAGATCACGCGAACAGTAAATTGAACCGGCAGAATCTGCCTTCCCACAAGCATCATAGTTAGCGGAGTCCATTTTGCTTCGGAAGCAGCTCAACCAATTTCAGGTACTACTTTAATCTTTCTTTTTCATTCCTACTTTACTATTAACAACTTTGTTATCCTGTATACTACCACCTGTCTCAGGTAATGCTTTTTACTACGTCCAACTTTCCTATGCATGCTGACTGAAAAAATTCTCATTCTAAGACAACTTGTCAAGCAACTGCTACTCCCAGAAGTACAATAAGTAAAAGGATAACTTGTATTTTCATTTTGGTAGTCAAATAAACCAGTATGCTAAACAGTAACCTGCACTGACCAGAACCCACCTTTTCCGAGGCACCAAACTTAGCACAGTCCATCGCGATGCGAGTTGCTCGACCAATGCTCTCCTTTGTCCTTGTTAACAGTCCAAGCATGCCTTCAAAGGATGACAATGCAGATTGTGCTTCTGTATAGTTGCTACATCTTCCAACAGATTTTGGTCTTTGAAGTGCTCCAGAATCAATCTTCTCCTCATCTGTAAGTGTAGTTCCAGAGACTCTCCTCTGGTTTGAATTGGTATTAGGACTAGAACCACCACTGTTCTGATTGAAATTAGCACTTTCTGAAGTAGACACATGACACATCGAAGTAGTGGTTGGGGACATCCCTGCTGGAGATTCTTCATCAGCTGGCAATGTAGCTAGCTGAGATCCCAAGGCATCCTTGTCAGAGCAATGGTCATCAGAGGAAGTAATGCCACTAGCTTCCATCAGTATTTGATCATCTTTTTCTAGTTTGTAGCTGAGCAAAATATTCAACAGAATAACAGAGAGGAAAGTTAATCTATGGCAGAAAAGTAAAGCTAGACTATGAAAATAAGTGACACTTAAATAGGAACTAAAACAAACAGAGTACTTTGATCAGGGAGAATTGTTAGATAATCCATAACATAACATGAAATATATAGTGAAATCAACAGACATTTGATATTAATACTTACCCTCCAAATGGCAGTTGATCATCATCAGTTCTAGACTTCTGTGACTCAAAATCATCACAGATACTTGTATCAACATTAACCTGAAGCACTTTTGGGTTATTTCCTCCAGCAATTTCAACAGCATGGAGAATAGTACTCTCTGAATCCTTCTCAAGTGCCCCAAGATCTTTACCAGGAGTTTCCACTTTCATATCATTTGCTTCAAGGCTTTCAGGTCCCCCTTGTTCCAGAGGCAGCAATTGGACCTCCAATGGTGCTTGATCTGATTCAACAACAGCAAGTTGCCTGTCAGCATCAAGCATCAAATTTACTGAGGTTTGTCCTTGAACAGAAGTGGTATCACTGGCACTAGGTCGAAGACCCAGTTTGTCATGATATGTTTCATTGCCATGGTTAATATTTTCAGCCACCTCATTCATGGAAGCTTCATTGCTGCTCGAAACCTCCATTTTGTCATTGGGACTATCTGCCTTCATTGAAGGTCTAGTACCTTCCTCCAAAGCCTCATTAGAACTCAAACATAACCCAGGAACTTTAGTGCCGAGAGAATCTTCACTGTGTTTTCTCTCTGTATTTTCAAGATCTTTAGGTGCACTGTTAGTGAAACAAGTTTTCGGGGTTGACGTTTCTTCAGCGGCATTTGCAGACATGGCCTCAAGGGCCCGATGAAGCCGTTTGCTTGGAGGCAATGCAGATTCACCAACAGCCAGATGACCAAAGGGTTGGCTATCTTTCACCCTTGAAAGCAGAACCTTTCCTTCAAGGATTTGACTATTCTCGGATGGTGAACTATTATTCAAGGTCTCATTTACTGCTTTAGTGGCCAGGAAATCGACATCAGAGTTCACAGACGAGGAAACCTGGTTCCCCATATTAACTGCAATTTCAAAAGAGGATCTTCCTTCAGCCTGAGGCACACTATTCTGTGCCCCCCGAATGAGGCCACCATCACTCAAGGTCTTCCCTTCAGACTGATATGTACCATGTTCCTCTCTGGAAGTTGGCAATTCGCCCATCCTAACTCTGGCTCTTTTAACTAGAGGCAGATGTTCATCTCCATCTTCTTTACCACCAGTTTCCTTCTGATTTCGAGAGTTAAGTTGCAAGTTTGGGCCAGTATTATTTGCACTAACATCTAAATTCACCCCAGTATCTGGTTGAGTAGTTGGCTCGGTTGCCTCATTGGTTGCCCTCTTTCTATTTGGTTTCCTCTTCTTTCTAATTACAACATCCTTTATCTGAAAATCAAGACCTTTAGCCAACTCAGCTCCTTCCCCTAAACGCTCAACATCTGCCTCGCAGTGCTCTACTTTGTAACAACTATCTACAGTGCTGACATCATTTAAGCTGACAGAGCCAGAATCAACTGTAACAATTTCAGACACATCATCCTCGACACTGCCATTCGAGACAAAAGCACGGAAATCCTTAATATCATCTTCCACTACCTCCGGTGATTTCCTGCTGCGCTTGGTTCTCCTAACTGACCCTTCTCTAACTGAATCAACTAGTAAATCCCCCACATTTTCTCTGGAACTCTGTGACAACAGTACAGAGTTTTGCAGTCTTCCAGAAGTCAGCTGAGGCAAGATTTTTGGCGTTTCTGGTGATACTACTTTCTTTTGACTAACACATTTCCTAGATCGAGAACCTCCAGATCGTTTTCTTGAAGTATAAGTAGCTATAATAGGCTTTTCTACCTTACTGACAGACTGCTTCAGCAACACTTCTTTATCATCAAAGGAACCCAATAGTGGCACATCTGCAGCATCATTATCTGGATGGGTAGGATCATCTCTGCAAGTAACAGCTGCCTCCGAAGTTGCTGTCCGGCTTTCAATATCATTCTGGGATGATTCCACAGAATTCTCACCATTTGCAAATGGTTCACTAGAGCTGAAATCATTGACACGGTCTTGTTTCTTTGCCTTTTCAAAACTATCAATTATCTCATTCAAAGCACGAACAAAGTCAGCACTCTTCCCTTGGCGTTTCGTTGAAAGAGATTGTTTTTTCTCTTCCGTAAATGGTTCAATATCACCAGGATTGCAGAAAGCTCTACATTCATGAAAAGCAGGGCTTAGGTTTCCGATTGAAAAGCTGCCTCAAGAAATTGCGAGGAAAACAAATACATTGACAATTTAGATAAAGAGATCAAACAAACAATGATGAGCACCAATCAGACAAGATGAATGTCAAAGAACCTATCCAGCTAAACCACCAACCAGGTTCCTCCATAGGCGACCCGAAGACAGCTTTTCTTTCTACTCCATTGCATAAAAATGGCAAAACCACAAGATTTATCAAAAGACGGCCAGAAAAGACACAGACCACCCAGCTAGAGCCACATGAAAGAATGGTTCCATATTTGAATAACCGCAACCAAACATAAGCTCTATACCAAAATCCTTCATACAGCATTAAAACCTTCCACCATTAAAAGCTTCATTGCCTTTGCACATGGTACACAGCGGAAGAAGAGCTAGTCACAACTATCGTGCTGGTCAACATAGTAAAAACAGTATCTACACCCCCCCCCCCAAAAAACACACACACACAATAAAAAAAACTAAAACATAGGATGTCACTCCCTATTCGATAATTTCAAGGCACAAACAAGAAAATAAAAAACTTCTCTAGTCATGCCAGACAGAATATCAGTACAGAAATTATGGACTGAAGGTTTTACATCTAAAAGGTGCAAGCTACCATGAAATATACACTGCTTCCCTGGACAATAAAATATGGGTCCTATCACCTAACTGGGCAATTGTTGGCTATCTACGAACGAAGAATGTGAGAAACACATCATCCAGATACCAAAATACGTTGCGATACTGGTTTCAACCTAACCAATGACGGATCAAAACATCTTACTTTAAATCAAGGTAAAGGATAGATGTTGCAACTCCAATAAAGAAATAACACAAAGTCTGTACAAATCTCCAATGCTATATTTCAAATTGCCATTCACACGGTACACAGCAAAACAAATAAGAGTCACAGCAAAATTTCATGCTGACTTGAAAGGTACGATTTTCAAGGTAGCACAGCAACGAACAACGTAGAGCCAATCCCCCCCCCCCCCCCCCTTTTTACCTTTTAAACGCTACAGTTAGACAATAGAAGAAAAAGAAACCCTAACGGGCCAATGGTTCACTATGTACAAAAATGAACAAGGCATCATCCAAATACCTAAACACCTTTTATGCTTGTAACCAATGGCGGAGCGAAACAATTCTCTGATTTCAAGCTAAAGGATACGACTAAGAAGACAGAATTTGATAGGACAAGACTGAGTGCCACAAACTCAATAGATTATCCACTGTAAATTCACACATATGAATTAGTTGAAGCAACAAGCAGATACAGCTTTCCAAGGGAGTAAAAGGAGGATCCTCGTTTTACCAAAATAGGTACAGTACAAGCTTTGACTCGGAACAAAAAACAGATTCATACTCACATTTGCTGAGTTCCGAAAAAGTAGACGAGTACTTTCTTCCAATCAGACTTAAGATCCCATTTCTGTGGCTCAGTGACCTGGGAACACAGCGACAGCAACCAAATGAAAGCTTAAACAGAAAGCAGCAAGAATCGGAAATGCGTTAGTTTAGCAAACCTAGCATATCCACAAAACACACGATGAGTGGGTGCGGGGGCATCAATCCTAAACCAGGACAAACCGAGAATTGAACCAACACAACTAAATAACAATAAGCAAAGCAGCAAACCCCCAACGGGTCTGTAAAGGGAAACATAAACTACCCAAGTACACAAATATGAAATGCCAGTAACAAATCGCAGAACTTCAAATCGGGCTTCTAAAACAAGTTACAATAGGCAAGTCATCCACAACAGTTAAAGCCTTTAAGTGCCCACAGAATCCTCACCCAATAAATTCTCAGGTCCAATCAAACCGCGAAACAAAGCTCAAGAACAGCAACGAAGTAACTCAACATGCAGACTCAAACCCAGACGAAATCGCAAGACTTCCACCTCATAACAAACCAAACACACTGCCCCCGCAAACAAGAACAGGATAATATACGAATGAACAGGAAATTAGCATATACCGTGGCAGGCCAGGCAGGGAAACCTTTAAGTTTAGCAAGGACAAGATCGCCGACTTTCCACTGGCGACGGGCGGCAGCTGCAGCTCTGCTGGCTCCTCTTTTCCTACTCGGGGCCATCCCAGAAGCTCGAACCGAGGTGCGCCAATCAAATTTAGGGGAGTTGAGGCGTATGGAACTTGAGCGAAGTGGTAAATCCAAAGACTACACAGAATCGGCCGCCGAATGGACCAAACCGGCACTGTCTAGGGTTTCCAAATCGCAACCAGCCGGAGCAATTAGCAGGCATTGAGAAGCAAGAGTACCCGGAAGGAGAGTGAACGGCAGGGTGCGTCAATGAAACCCTAGAAGCTTTTTGGTGGGGAAGGAGACGAGTGGGGGAAAGGGAAGGCAGTGGGAACTCTGAAGAGTCCAATTGGGGGAGTTTTGGGGGTGGGGATGAAAGAGAGGAAGGAGGATGGGGAAAGAAAGCGCTGGTTTTGGTTTGGCTGAGGGAAAGGCTAAAGTGCACTTAGGGGGTGTAGGTTAACAAGCCCGGCAAGGGGCATCGGCTAACCTACGCCTAATGCGAAAAGGTTGGCTCTTTTTTTTTTTTTTTCATTTTTCAAAATTTTATGTGATGCAGCAAAAAGATTACGTGGTAAACAAAGGGACCCTTGCCTTGCCATTTACACGTGACCAACCAACTACGAACCTCTTACTTTGGGAAGGGAGTAAATGTGACGGAGCAAAGTTTTGAAGGTAAATGCATAATGCATTTGCATTTTTAAATCGGTTTATATTATTGTTGTGTCAGTTTAACAAGTAAAATCAGTTCAATCAGTAGTATAATCAATTTGTATCAATTTATATAGATTTAATAAAAGAAATAAAAATAATTAGAAAAACATTAACATTAAATAAATTTAATCATACATAAAACATATTTAAATAAAATACGACATTCCGAATAATATAATAAATACTCATTCTAAATACAACATTTAACATCAATATCTAAATGTTTATACTTGAATCCAAAAAAACATAAATATTTAAATTCTCAAACTCGTAAAATAAATAATAAATTAATTTTTTATTACTTAAAGTCACTAAAACGACATCATTTTGCTTAACGGTCGTAAATCATACAGGTAGTGTTTCATGCTTGTTTCTTGACTGACACCTATTGAAGCAGCTTCAACCGGTCGACATTCCATCGGTGTAACAACCATGATTTGCACTCAATATAATTTTTTGCAATAGTTGGAAGAGGAGCAAATGAATAGTCTCTAATACTCTAGTTTCCCTCCAAAATTTTTTTTTTTTTTTGTGCATTAAGTCTCCCCAAATTTGGAGTAAAAAGAGAAGGAGGAAGAGGTGAGAGATAAAATTGACATGATAATTATTATAATGTGTGCATTATTATTATATTCAATAATAATTCTTTGAAAAAATATGTTTAATGATAATTGTTATTATTACAATAGTTATAATTATTATTAAATGATCAATAATTATTATCATTTTCTTTCATCATTATAATAGCTATTATAATGTAGACGTCGTGAATGGCAAGTTTGTCAAGCTGGCACCAATTGTTGACTCGACTAAACAAGTAACTGAAAGTTCTTCGGGTTGAATCGATGTTTTTTGTTGACTCAGATTTGCATTGACAAGTAGAGAGGAGAAGTGTCACGGGAAAAGTAGAGTGAGAAAATGTTTACTTGACGCATGTCACTTGGTCAAACAGTTGAAATCAATAGTTTGGACGTGTTTGGCTAAGTTTGACCAATTTCACTTTAAACCTAAACTAGGCACGAGAGTCTGGTAGGATTCCTAGTTCTAGTTCAACTTGTGGAATGCTACATTTGGACCCGTGAATTGCCAACGGGACAAAGTTAGTCTCTCTTGTACTCTATTTCTCCATTTGGGATCCAAGGAAATCAAATAAGAGGGGATCAGAAAGGACGAGTGGATCACCTTCTTGGAGATTGAGGAGCCGACCTCAAGTGCTTTTGCTTGAGTTCATCGGAACCGTTGAGTTCAAGACGATTCGAGTTACCGCTTATAGATCTCCCAACATCTCTCTGCAACTCAGTGGTATGGAGCGAGCAATAACGATCAAAGAGTTCACAAGGGCACTTGTCATCTATCCGTCGGGGTTCGTGGACTCACCTGACTTTGACTCACTAATACAAAGGTATAGCATCCCCAAGCTTGGTGATATTGGTGCAAGAAACCTCAAGGAACTAGGAGCTCGAGGTTGTAATGTAAAGTTGTACAATGCGAGCGAGCTGAAGCCGGAGTGGAGGATTATCCACCACGTGATTGCTAGATCCTTGGGTGGAAGGTACTTAAGTACTGGAAATCTCTCAGCTCAAACATCGGGATCATGTGGAGCATGTTGGGCGATCAATACCTTTAGCTTGGGATCTCGATCATCATCACATTGTCGAGGCACATCACTAACCACAGGATCACAACTATGCACAATGGGGTGTATATCATGAGACTCACCAGGTTCTTCAACATCTACCTCGACAATGTGGCGAGTCCCATTGACATCAAGACTCATCGAGTCTCCTTCCAAGTTCCCAAGTCATACTTAAAGGCACTTCAAAAGAACGAGCATGGAGTATGAGGTGCTTGTGATCTTCCCTTTCTTGCAGCCAATTCAATAATTGTGGATGACGAGGAGTTTTTCCTCCTGGTCACACCACCAAGAAGAATAAGAAGAGTGGTCAAAGAGAAAGAAGAGACCCAAAACCCACATTATGATCCGCCTTCTTCTATAACTATCATGGTCCTCCTCCACCTCAAGCATCGAGCTCCTCGGGACCAATTGACTTGGAGGATCAACAAGAAGATTCACCGAGAGGCCGAGGCAAGATGTCATGTGGCTTCTTGCAACCATGACATTATGGCAAAGCTTGGAATTCTGATGGAGGATATCAAACCTCTGTATGAGCCCTATGATATGCCTGAGCTAGATACTCAATCTGATCTTGGTCCGGAGGGTGAGTTCTTAGGAAATCAAAGGATCGTTCTATATCATCTCTTTTCTTTCTTTTTTATAAATGCTTCATTTTCTTTTCTTTGAATTTTGTACATAGGATATTTGTTTTCATAATAAGTAGTACATGTGTGTGGGTGTTTGTGTTAGCTAGCATATGTTTGTGTTTGAATAACAATGCTTCTCTCTTTTGTCAATGTTTGGTTATTCCTTTATATCGACATTGAAGACCTACACTTGCTTCAGCCCACCTATCCCTCTCCAATGGTCAAATTTTCTGAACCCTATATTTAACTCCCACATTAAGGATAATGAGTCTCTTAAGTGTGGGGGGTGCTTTGCATATTTTTGAACTTCATGAATGATGTCATTTCATTTTTCTTATTGTGTGATGACGAATGAATTTATGAACGTGTATGAGAATATAATTGTCGAATGTATGAGTGAATGGTAGTTAATACGAATGATAGTAATCTTGATGGGAACCTAGGAACTACTCCAAATTTTTTAAAAATTTAAGGGTTCCAAGCAAGCCCCAATACTTACGTTGTCGGTCTATGGTTTTAGTTCATGTTCAATTGTGGTTAATCGATTGCCCGGTTCGGTTTGATAGTAACCAAACCGTTTATCACTTGATTCACTTCTACCTATTAAGTAGTGGGTCGAGTTCAAATGCAAAGGGAGCAGCTTTGAAATACCAGCACATAGAGGAGAGAGAAAGTAGTTGAAAATTTTCTTTGGAAGAGAGGATAAGTTAGGAGAAGAGAGAATGAGCAATTTAGGATCTTGGAGCCGAATTTCTTTCTGAGTCAAGGTGTCCAGATCTTTTATCCATTTCCCTTTATTATTTTTTCCTGGGCTAAATTACACATTCGGTCACTCAAATTATATTAATCTTTCACGTTTGCCATTCGAATTACTATTTTTTCTTATTGACTACTAACTTTACGAATCATTACATCGTTAGTCACTGTCAAACTCCGTTAAATTATTGATGATGTGGCAAAAAGAATTGCCGATTGGACTAACAGAAGGCTGAGATGGAATTTTTTATTAAAAACACAAAATAACAGAAAAAAAGAAAAATTAAAGCTCATCAATCATTCCCAATTAAAAGCCTTCCACGTCACACCTTCTCTCTTCCCACAGTATCCCCTTCCTCCCCATCAAATCCCCACCTCCCTCCTCCACTACTTCCCTCCCAATCCCTTCTGCCATCAAAATCTAAAAGCCTCTTCTCCTCCACATTCCCTTCCTCAGAGCAAGAACAAGAACAAGAAGGAGAAGAAGAAGAAGCGAAGAGGAATGAAGATAAACAAACAAAATGTATATTACAATCCCCATCAACTCTCCAACCCAATGCTGATGCTCAACCCAAAGCTCGCCACCGGCAGCAGCTCCGCCTCCTTCCTCCTCCCAAAATAACCATCCCTCTCTCGATCCACCATCGTATGATTCGTATCTTCTGCCTCCCAAGACACCCACAACAACACCTCCACACCCACAGCCTATTCGCCTCTCCAAAAGAAGACCACGCGCCGGTTCGACAACACAAGGCCTGCTGTGCGACTCCGACAGCCTCCCCACCTGATTGTGAGCGGCGACCAGAGGCACTGGGGTGAGTTCGTAACCAAAGGGGTTCTGTTCCACGTCGTCGGGTGGATCAGGTAGGTGGGCCGGAGCTACCAGATTGCCATTAGTTGTGAGAAGAAGCCTGTCATCATCGATGTTCCCCTAGCTACTAGGAATCTGGGATGATCTTCAAAAGCTCATCTTGGTCCGTTTCTGCTTACAGAGAGTTCCTCAACGGATAACTAATTACCTAGTTGTTAAGGATGTTTGAAATCTGATTTCGATTTTGGGTTGGGGAAAACAGATAAGAGAAGGGTTCTTGTAATTCGACTGGGAATGTCTGATTCACTCCATAATCGTCTTTGGTCCCTCATATGTCGTCATCTCCACCTTGCGATGAGGCATGGCCTGGCCGCATCCCCCGGCTCCGAGGCAGGCGGAACTAGAGGCACGGGTGCCGTCGCCGGAGCATCACTTGCTCAGTCGGCGCCGTGCGATTCGCGTCCATTTTGGGGGATGCGAGAGGAGAGGACAGTGGGGAAGCCTAGGGTTGGCTTAATTGGGGATGATTGTCAAGTTTTTTTTTTGTGTGGTTATTTTGTGTTTTTAATAAAAAAATCCATCTCAGCCTTCTGTTAGTCCAATCGACAATTCTATTTGCCACATCATCAAAAATTTAACGGAGTCTGACAGTGACTAACGATGTAATGATTCGTAAAGTTAGTAGTCAATAAGAAAAAAAAGTAATTCGAGTGACAAACGTGAAAGATTTATGTAATTTGAGTGACCAAACGTGAAAGAGGAGAGAGAAAGTAGTTGAAAATTTTCTTTGGAAGAGAGGATAAGTTAGGAGAAGAGAGAATGAGCAATTTAGGATCTTGGAGCCGAATTTCTTTCTGAGTCAAGGTGTCCAGATCTTTTATCCATTTCCCTTTATTATTTTTTCTCGTTAATGGGGTAACACTTTCTGTATTTGGGTTAAGAAACCCCTAACCAAGATGTAGGGTTTTCAATATGTAACAGACGATTTGGTTGACATTTTTTTATAAGGGTGTTACAGGTTTACTTTTTTGTTGTTAGGTGTTACTTAAAGGATTCATACCTCGGACCTCAAGGCTAGTGTTTGTTACTTATCCATATATCGATTGCATGTGGATGATGAATTGATGATTTAAAGGCTTTACCTTAGTAGGTGATCCTCCACTTAGGTCAAGTTAAGGCTAAAATCAAGTATAGCAATTAGGTGATTGCATTTAGGTGATTGCATTATCATTGGTTGTGGGATTATGTCAATTGACAATAATTGAGCATATCTATAGCTATGGTGGTCAATTACATGACCATTGAGTTTATCTCCATAGATAGGACGACAATTGGGTTCATGACCATTTACTCAAATGCCTCTTTAGGTATTTTTACACGTCGAGATACTCTAATTTGAATCAATGAGTGTCCATCATGTTGCAATTCCCATTGAGATACGTCGGGGGGTTTGAAATTCTCAAAATACTCTCTCCTTTGAGCTAGTTTAACTTAACTTAGTTTTTTAGTTGAAAATGATCTTAAACTGACGACTAGAAATCAATCAAATCCTTCAAGTAGCAGTTGCGTTTCCTATTTCCTGTGGAATACGATCTTGATTAGCAAGAGATCACCACTATACTTCAAAGTCTAGATAGGGTATACTTATCCAACCAGAGTGTGGATTCATGACAAAACATATCCTCCTATTTTGACTCAATTTACGTATTGATCTATCATCTTTTTTTCCTTCCTCATTTTGTGATTTGATTTACAAAGATCTTATATATTCCTTTCCCAAATATCTATCGCACACATATCACCTACACAAACGAGCTAAACTTCACTATCCCAAGTCCAGACGACCCTGAACTTCACTTTACAGACCAAAAGGCATAATGCTATATGGATGATGAAAAACCGATACTAATGTCAACGCCGTAATAACACCAAAATCATGAAGCGTCAATATTCGGAAAAATAACCTATATACAATAATAGCCGCTTATTAACATGACAAAAAAATGAGTCCGCCTTATCAGCCCCCTCACTACTACTACAAATTCTCAGAAAACCCAACTCTAACCCAACATTGCAGATACTTCAGCAGCTGTTGACACTGCTCCAGTTTCATTATGATCCAAGAGATCCCACTCGTCATCCAGAAGCTCTTCTCTTTGACTGTTAACCATCTGCTCCACGTCCAGCTCACTGTTGCTCAGCAAGTGGGCTTCCATGTCCTGGCTCCTCGGTGATCGAGTCCTCACAGATGATGCGGGACTTGTGTGCTTCGAGCGCATTGTGGGAAACACATCAACTGCAAGGACATTTCTAGTTGATGAAGAGCCCGATGAAGCCAAAATGCAGCTAGTCTGGCTGGATGAGATGGATTGACTCAGTGGGACACGGTTGTCAACCTTCTCCTTCAGCAACTGAACATCCTGACATATTACAGATATTTCTCCCCTGCAGCAGCAAGTAATTCAGCATCTTATCGCCCCGGGTGACTAACTGAGTTAGGAAAAAGTTAAGAACACAGTTCAATAACACTTACTGCAACATATCAACAACGTGACCACGGTCCATCAGAAATTCCCGCAACTGCAAGAAGGCAAAAACAATATTATTGACACCTGGTGAAGAGTTGATAACTGCATGGTTCGATAAAGAGTTAGCAACCTACCTTAGAATTCTCCTCCGCTGCTTCTTGCAGAATCTTTGATTCTTGAACGACTTTCTCCATGATTGATTGTTCTTCAGACAGCGCTTTACGAGCAGACCCTACCTTCTCTTGCTTCTGCTTCTCAGCCGCTGCCAGCATCTCCTCAGCTGCAGCTAATCGTTCTTCTAGTGCTCGATGCATCTGCAAAGTTCAATTTTATTTTGTTTTGTTCCGTTCAGGATAACCACACAATCAGGATAATCATTGTGTGCACAAGAACAACATAGATAGGCAACCAGTTCTCAGTTTGCATTGTTTAATTACAGCATGTCCCAGACCAGTTAAATAATCTCAGCTTAAATACTTTTGAGCAGCAGCATTATCTTAAATTTGATATATAAAAAAAGACATTGAAAACAAAGTTTCAATGGAGAAAAGCTAAGCAAAACATCTGGAGTCATTTACCAAACCATTGAATCACATGGATAAAAAATTAACCGCTGCACACTCCTTAATAGTTACAAGCGCAAAACTGGGTAGGTAGGGTGTGACGTGAGTCGCTTATTTCCACCAGTAAACTACCGCGAATAGAATGAGAAAGCATACAGCATTATACATACACACCAGTTAGGGAAAAGGTAATGAGAATGGTTTGGCTACTAACATGATTGATATTAGCCTTTGAGACGGTATATGAATGGGCCTTCAACATTTTATATTTAAAACACGAGTAAAAACAATTTAGTGAAGAGAATACCTCATCGATAATAGTTATTGCAGAATCCCTTTCCTCTGACAAATTGAGTACACGAGCTTGCAACTCTTTAACTTCTGTTGCTAGGATCGCCTTCTCACCATACACTTCGCCCGCATGCTGCAGAAAACATGCAGTTGGTTCATTTTAGGATCACCGCCCAGGATAAATACAGCCTGAAAAGATTAATTAATCCAGCATAATGCAACTCTACTTACCATATCATTTGCTTCCTTTGCATGTGAAAGCATCTTTTTCAGCTCCTCAACCTGGACTTGTATGTCCAGACCTGCTGTTGCAGCTTCCTTTTCAGCTTGCTCTGCTTCTTTCTCTTTAAGTTCAACTTCTCTCATTTTGTTCATAACAGACTCCACAGCAGAAAACAATGTTTTCTGAATAGACATACAAAAGGTTGGCAAACAAAAAATCTCGTGAATTTTGAGAAATTGGATTATACAAATTGGACCATTATTGTATCATTGGCACAATCACATTTGCTAAGAGAATGCTTATTACTATTTCAACGTAATAAATTATATTCAAAGGCAAGAAAAGAAAAAAGCAGGTGGAAAAGGCCCTTTACCTTATTGTTTTTCCCAGCTTCAATGAACTCATCGAGAACCTCAATATTGACATCTTGCTGTGCTATACCATTGTCACTTACATTACTGGGGCTGTTTGGAACTCCCAAATTATTGTCACCTGTAGCTGTCCCCTGCTCGCCCTCTGTAATTCCCGAGTCAGTTGCAGCATCAGCCTGAGTATCAACTTCCGGTGCTTCCTCACCAACAACATCAACAGGTCCCACAAATAGACGAGAAGCTTCCTCTGAGTTTAGACCACCAGAGCCTCCATTAGAGCAATTATCTTCTACTACAGTAGCAGACATAACGTGTGTGGCCTGGTCAGGGCCCAAGTCACGGTCATTTTGTTGGTATATTTCCTGGGAAGGTATCTCATTCTCAGTATCAAAAAACACTTCACCGCCATTGCCTTTCGCACCTTCAGAAATGAAATCATCCGAAACAACAGGAGAGATATGATTTGATCCAGAGTGAGAACAATCTCCTTGGTAAGGTGCCTTCTGAAGCAGAATCAGTTCTTCAATGTCAGTCCCTCTGTGCAACTGATTGGCCTCCTCTTGCACATTAGAGGATAGTACTGGCTCCATGTTCATCAGCTGTTGGCTGCCAGTAGAGGAACCATATTGACGATCAAAACTCATTAGATCATTTCTCAGATCATCTACCCAGGCAGCTGATGATCGCTTTGAAGAAGAAGCACTGACATTCTTTCCTGAACCATTCGGCCTACGGCGCAACTGATCGGTTTGATCCTCATGCTCAGCTGTAGAAAACAACATTGTCAAATGGAACATTGAGCAAAATTGCATTTTCACCAATGATGATAAAAGCGAAGGGTCTCTCAACACATAAAAAACACAACTTTTCCAAAACATGCGCACTACTATACAAATATACACATGAGGGGAGACGAGGAGCTAAGAAGCAGAGTTACTAAACGAGTATTAATTACATTCTTCTTCTGCAGACTGAAGAAGAGACGGTTTGGGAGCAAGTGATTGACTCTCCAGAAGAGGAAGAACCTCAGTGAGAACCGCTTCTACAGCTGCATCAGGATCCTTGTAATGTTCAAGAGCAACAGCCCTCAGCATTCGGATATCGACCTGCCGTGGATTGGCAGAAACAACCCAAAAAAAAAAAACAGGGTTATAAAACGAACAGAAAACCCATTCAAGTGCTTCACAAGCTGTGATCACAGTTCCAATAGTTTGTACCTGAGGGAAGACGTCCATGAGGACCTTGTAAACCGTTTTGAAACCCATATTTCCCGACGCGATCGAACTGCAAGAAAACAAGAGATACGCAAAGAATCTCAATTCTGATCAGAGACAAGTCTACCGCCCTGGAAAATTCGATGAAGGGCAAGCGGAGAAGAACAAAATATAAAACCCTACACAAGAAACAAGAAAGCTCGATTCGTAGTCCGGCTATCTCTCTGGGTTTTCTCAGGAAACAAACAGGAGCCAAGAAAAAGAGAGGTGAGAAAGGGATGAGACGCGAAGAACTGACCTTTTCGTTGGGGGAAGATGAGACGATGAAGGCATATGAGTGGTGGGGAAGTGTGGTTAAGGAAGGTAGGGGACGAGGTTTGGATTTTTGGGGGAATTGAATCGATTCGGACTTGATTTGATCGAGATTGTAGAGGGAGGAAATTACGGTACCTAATGCCTTCCCCCGCGAAAAGGACTGTTCAGGTATTCAGTATAGGCGGGGCGGATGGAAACCGAGTCGGTCTCTACATCTGATCTACCCCAACGGGCAACGGAGCTAAGGAATTGGGCATTCTGGTCATTAGCAGTGAGGGTTTTGGGGGTATATCTGTCCGTAAAAGGAAACTTTTTAGGTAGTTTCCTAGGGTTCTGCGCACGTTACGCGGACAAAGAGGCCAATCAAAATCAATTATGCTAGTTTAATAATATTCCATTAATAATAGGTATGGAGAAACTTAATCGCCTCTCCCAAAAAAAAAAAAAAAAACTTAATCGCCAAAACATCGGTTTAGAAAATCCCTTTCCTGTGAGTGCCGAGTACAGAGTAGTAAATATCTAAATACTATATGTACTCTTACGTACTTTATCTATTTAAAATTTTTGTATTTGTATTATTGTCAAATCATTTCATTTTTGTTCGTTCATTTGATGGCTCTTGTATTAAACACGTATAAAACTTGTATAATACATTTAATATCCATATTTAATGAATTAAATTATTAACTTTACTATTATTTATTCATTTTAAAAATAATTATTTTTATTTATTTATGACTATTAAACGTAACATTAGCATAGAGACGAAGTAAAATACCCATACGTATTTTATACGTAATTTTCTCGTACCGTATTTTACTAACTATGGTAAATATATGGTTATGACTTATGACGTATGATTGCAAATCTCATCTGTGGTACCAGGTTAGTGTCAATAATTCTTGATTATGCAATTATGCATAATCATATATGATTTTTTTATTTAGAGTGGGGCAGGTTTAATGAATGAGATTAAAAGATCATGTTAATTTTTTTCATTTTTTCATTTTAATTTGGATTTCAAATTTTATTTATTTATTTCCGAGTGATATCAAGAGAGAACAAGAGTTATACAAACAACATTATCCGGGAACCCCCTACAAGCAACACTCTTGTGAAGCCACTCAATAAAGTCGAAAGACTCTAACTCTATGAGAGACAATAACAATACTTTACGTGCCACTCTATGGGTAACACTGATGGCTGCTCTAGGAACCGCTCTAAACTCTATGAAAACTTACGAAGAGTCTAGGATCTAACAACACTCCTGGAGCACCGGACCTCCAAAGGAATCTTCTAGTACACTTTGACGGACCTAGTTGATGACCACCTCGGAATCACCTTCCACTATCACGTGGGTCAAGGATCTTGAGGTGACAATGGTGATAGCATTAATTACTATTAGGAACTCTGCCAGGTAGAGGTTGACTAATGACTACTCTCTGGTGATGCATACCGGTTCCAGCACCACATGCCTGTCTGACCCGCAGAATAAGACCAGAAAAGCATCCTGAGTCATGAACAGTTGCATCAAAGATGATCTTCAAATAGTCATTTTTGGTGGAGGCTCCCAAGCGGGTAAGGGGGGGGGGGAGGGGAGGATTTGGCAGGAGCGATCTGGGGGGGCGGAGGAGGGGGAGAATATTGGAGACTTCAAGGATATGGTTGTAGAATTGTTTAGCGAGGCAACAGACAAGAGATTGGTAAAATTCAAAAGTCACTTTATTTCTAGACTGCAGATTCTACAAAGTAAACAGATTCATTGGAGAATGTTGAATGAGAAGATCTCAAAGATCATGACATGTCACCACCATAGATTAAAATTAACAGTCGAGGCGGATTAATGAAGTAACTCAATCCCATCACGGTCCACCACAACTTGGTGGCTAGGAGGCATCGGAAGCTAGTAATAATAACAACTGTAAATTAGTAACTAATAAAAGTTCATTGAGGTGTGTTTGTTTAAACTTTTATTTTCTAAAACTTTTTCCTCAAATCTAAGTTTAAGTTAAAACAAACAAGTATAAGAAAAAAGAATTTTATTGTAGAACTTCACTATTTAAGACAAATATATTCCCAAAGTTATACACTTAATAGTCATTTTTCACTTTTAATTCACTACTTTACTATTAAATACATTATTCACTCTCATTAACTATATTTATAATAATAATAATAAACTACTCACTTTTCATAAACTAGGCTTTCTCTAAATTCTTACCAAACACACTTTTCTTGAAATTTCGAAAAAATTTCTCCAAGTTTTAGAAAAAGTTTTCCAAATTTATGGAAAATACAACAAAACACACCTAAATTTAATAGTCATTTTACAAAAATCTTAATAGAATTTTATGTTTGTTGTGATAGTTGAAGGACACCTTAGTGTAATATAATAATAGACGAGTACGTTTGTTAATCTGCAATAGTAGATGGGTATAAGATGCTCATTTATATATGATCCATGTCTGATAATGATGGATGGATGTGATGTTGTTTATAGCAGAAAACAGACTCCGGCTTGCTGGAGTGTACGTTGTGAGTTGTGATGGAGGAGGTTTGTGAGCATGGAGGGAATTATAAAGACCATGGTGGTGGTGGTGCAAATTCCTCTCACCACTATGGTAGTGATGTACGAGGCGAGTATGATTAATAATTTGGGAGTTCAGGAGGCAACAAGAAGGTGGTTATTCATGAGACTGTAGAGGAAATGGTTATGGTTATTGACAGTTGGAGAATATGGTTGTTGCGGAGGTTATTCAGGTAGGAACTATGGTGATAATGTTCTACATCTCGTTCCTGCTAAACCTGATGGGGATACCATGGCCAGGTTATAATGATTGTATTGCATCTGGTACAACTATGGAGTCTGATGGGCAATAGTGGCCAAATGGTGTTAAGAATGAGCTAAATCTTAGCATCTATATTGTATGGCCGCAATGATGATCCCTATGTGGAAAGGGAGGCTCATCTTACAACAATGACATAAGTGATGTAGAAGATTTGCATCAATGAGTAGTGAATATGTGGAAGCTGAGGATGGCGAGAATGGAGAGTACCGAACCTCCCATGCGCGCACTAAACAGCGATCCCACAAAATCCCCTCTATGCTCACAGCGGCGACACATACCTTCCTCCTCTATGCTTTGTATCCAACTTCGTACACTTACAAATATCCATGTACACCACCGCCAAACATGTTGATCCCTAACTTTTTTCCCCATCATATCCCAATCTCCGTATAGTAGTGGGAGCCACATGCCATTTATAAACCTATTGGACTTGTTGGGAGACATTAATGCCCCAACCAAGTCAATAAGGTATATGTGAGCACAACTCTTCACTTTTCACCCAATGCCCTAATATGTTGCACTAGTCAAGAGATCAAAAGTTGGGACTTGTATAGTGGTGGCAGGCCTTGTTCCGGCTAGTCTCTCTGTCGGCACATCGATGCCCAAATGCTCAAATATCAATGACCTCCAACCTCGAGTAAGGAGCTTTAAATTCCTGATTATGCACTCTCCATCCATTGGCAGCTCGACAAGGAAGACAATGCTCCTCAACGTGATCATCATCTTCCTCGAGAAGGTGAAAGGTATGTGTCTCATTTAATCACTTTTCGGCCAAGGATGCAATGAGATTGTTGCCACTCTCCATACCTACAAATAACCTCACCCTTGCCAAGCCCACTTTTTCTAAAAAATCTTGATCTGCCTATCCCACAAGGGCAAGTGTGAATGCCCCTACAAAAGATAACAACATATTCCTCTATGAAACAAAAAAGTAAAATAAGTTTTGGAATGATTAAAGAATCACCATCATGATTCAAAATACATGAGGTATATGGTCGAGTGCTTACCTGGTCATCTGCCCAAACATTTTGAGATCGATGGTACGGTTGGCCATACAACATATGATTGTCTCTCAAGGCTGTTTATTAGGAAACCTCAACCCATCAATTTATCTTTCATTGCACTGTCATTCGAGCATAGGCTATTTAGTTATAAAGTAGTTGCTAATAGAAGATCTTGTGAAATACGACCCGAGATGTTCATAGATTTATTACTTTGAGGCATACTACAATCATATCATTATGCTTTATAGGGTTATGAGATTTCTTAAGTCAAAAAAATAAAATCAAAATGATTGTTGTTCATTGGACTCGAACGAGGGACGAGTTTAATGAAATCAAGGCTGCAATCACTGAGAAATCCATGTGCAACTCATCATGCAACACCTTCGAAGCTATATTTTATGGTTTTTATGGATTGGGCTGGGTTGCTGAACCAATTTTTACAATAGTCTAACAAAACTATAGTAAACATGTTTTGTCTACTTGGTTTTTCTTAGGATTATTGACACAAATATATTTTTTTTAAAATTACCACTAATATTGCGGATTAAATAGTATTGACGAAAATATTGTGTTTTTAACAGAGTTTTAGATGCTGGTGCCTTAGACTAAGGCGCCCCCACCTTAGCTATTTTTCTTCTAACAGGCCTAGGTGCTGGCGCCAGAGACTAAGGCGCCGCCACCCCACTCCTTTTTATTTTAAAAAACCCGACCCCCACCCACCCACAGCCTTATCTTATCTTTTCTTTCCTTCCTCCTCCTCCACACAAACCCCTCCCTTCCTTCCTCTCCCGACCAGCCTCCTCCTCCCCTCCACCACCCACAGCCTTCTTCCTCTCCTCGCTCTTCTCTCCGCCGTCGCTGACCAACCCACCCACAGCCACCAGGAGCGAGCCCGCCACAGTGCCAGGCGCCGCCGCCACTCTGTCAGGTCCCGCCGCCTCAGAACCAGGCCCCGCCGCCGCTCTGCCAGGTCCCGTCGCCGCTGAACAAGGTGAGAGCGCCCCAGTGCCAGGCGCCGCCGCCTCAGCGCCAGGCCCCGCCGCCGCTGTGCCTGTCGCCGCCGCCCCAGAGTCAGTCGCCGCCGCAGCCAGCAGCAGCGCCGCCGCCCGGAGATGTCCTCTGATGAAGAAGAAGTCGCCGGCAGAGGCAGGGGGAGAGGCCGGCGAGGTCGTGGCGGCCGTTTGCGCGGTGAGACTCTCGTCGGCGGCTTGAATATTTTTTTTAATGGTTTGTGTTTTTTTTTAAGGGTAAATACAATTTAATATCCAAACTTTTTATTTTAAACAATATAATAGTCAAACCTTTTCGAAAACAATCTAATATCCAAATCGCCAATTTTTTGTTTGTTTGACCGTTAGTTGACACTTCAAAAAAGTTCGAAGTACGACACTTCATCAATATCCATCGATATCTTCTCTGAAAAACCACCAACATATCATAGTTCCAAACCTGAGAAGTCTATGACTCCACCATGATGGTATAAAATATCTAAATATTCAGTCATCTGCAATGCCAAAACAAGAAAACAAGGTTGTATTGTGACAATTTCTCCTAAACAAAGCTTTTTTGAAGTGTCAACTAACGGTCAAACGAACGGAAAGTTGACGATTTGGATATTAGATTGTTTTCGAAAAGGTTTGGCTATTATATTATTTAAAATGAAAGGTTTGGATATTAAATTGTATTTACCCATTTTTTAATGGTTTGTTGCTTTGTTTTTGCAGTTCCTAGGCTTATGGATCCGTATTCGATGAGATTACCGCCGGCGACAATTGATACAGGTCCGGTCGATGCGACACTTCTTTGGGGACATGGCCAACATCGTATCGACTCTGTTTGGACAAACGAGGTAAGTATTTGATAATTATTCATGTAAAGTTAATTAGCTAATTAGATTATTTTAGTTGGTGAACTGAACTAGTATAATTAGTATAATTTGATATTAGATTAGATAGATTAGAATTAATTAGGTGAAATTAGAATTATTACGAATGATTCTAATTAGATTATTTTAGTTGGTGAACTGAACTGTACTGTTATAGGATTACGTATTAGATTTTTTGAAATTAGTATAATTTGATATTAGATTAGATAGATTAGAATTAATTAGGTGAAATTAGAATTATTACGAATGAAGATGAACTAATATAAGTTTTGTGCACTATAGGCTGGTGATCGATCTTACCATGTTCGAGGTACGACCATTTTAGTACCTTACCGTGAGCTTTATCGGCCATATCTCGAAGCGGCAGGCTTGTTAAGTGTCGTGCCCCTAGTCCCTATGAACCCCGATGCGAGTTTGATTACTGCGCTCGTAGAGCGGTGGCGACCCGAGACGTCGACCTTCCATCTACCATGTGGTGAGATCACGATCACGTTAGAGGACGTTGTTACACTGTCCGGTTTGGCGATCGACGGTGATGCCGTCGTAGTTGATATACCGGATGAGGAGTGGTCGGCGATTTGTTTGAGACTGTTAGGACGGGTTCCTTATGATCTTGTAGGCGGGGTCGCTGTTGTTAGGATTGTTTGGCTGAGGGTTGAATTCAGCAATCTGCCGGAAGATGCATCACAGGAGGTTATATAGCAGTTTGCACGAGCTTATGCTCTATCTTTGATTGGAGGTGTACTTTCCCCGGATCGGTCTGGATCTACGGTGCACCTACAGTACCTACTTCTGATTGAGGATTGGGAGAGGGCTGGAGGGTTCGCCTGGGGAGCTGCTGTTTTATCCTACCTGTACCGTGAGATGGGTAGGTCGACTTTGCACATTTCGCATACCGGCACTTCTCTAGCCGGTGACCTTGGTGGATGGGTCGCCCTACTGCAGTTCTGGGCGTGGGAGCGATTCCCACAGCTGGCACCTCGAGATTCAGAGACGAGGGCACATGCCACCGAGGATGCACATCCACGTGGTCTTCGATGGCTTTCGGCCAGCAGTCGTCAGTATGGTGACCAGCTATTCCAGTACAAGCTGTGGTTTGACGCGATGGACACCGTGGTGGTTAGTATATAACATTCCATTTTATAGAATAGTTTTCATTTGTTTTATTTTTTAGAATTAGGGATAATAACGTTAAATTTTTGCTATGTAGTGGCAACCTTACCGTGAGAGAGCACTTCATCTCAGAGGTAGTGTGATACAGTCTGAGACATTTCGAGCAGTAGTGCCACTTATCTGCTTTTCATCGGTGATGTGGCATCATCCATACCGCGTGCTCCGGCAGTTTGGCATGAGGCAGCATGAGCCTCATCAGCCACATCCTGAGATATCATGTCGACATCAAGATGACGATGATCCGTCGGTTGAGTCGTACTGCTACAAGAATGCACCAACTCAGCCTTTCTCACAGTCCATTCGCCTCCAGCATCTCGACATCCAAACCGCACCATCCAAGGACAATTGTCATCCTTGTGCCTCAAGCATCTGACCTTCCAGATTGAAGGTGACGACTCCACCACGCCATATTGAAAGTTGCGTTGTAGTGCGTGGTGTTAAATCGCCATCTGTGCAGCTTGTTTCGAGTGAAATATCTGCCCCTTGTAGAATTCTCCTTCAAAACTATCAACAATAGACATTGGAATTACGCCATATGAATCAACAAGTGAGTATTCTTCGTCCTCTTCATTACCCTGCAAGTAAAAATATGGAGGATAATTAGGCACTCCTTCCCCCTCTTCCTCCTCTTCCTCCTCTCCGTCATCACCGTCATCATAGGCATGATCGGATGGCACGCTCCATGTATCATCTTCTTCCTCTCCACCCTGATCCTCACTGAGCTCAACATGTATCTCAGCACCCAAACAATAAGGATTTTGTGCCATAAAATTCCAAAGCACATTCAAGCTATCATCATCCACAATAGGCATTGCATAATGAAATAAAACACCATTCTGCCATTCTGGAAGACGGTAAATGAAACTTGTGATCACATCACTATCTTGTACTGCTTCGTCTCTATGCCGTATTCTCGGAATTAGATTCTCACAAAGATAATGATATGTGACCCTGGATGGAATCGTCATCTGAAAACTACTACCACCAACGAATTTGACGCCCAAATTATCTTCTACTTTCTCCGATTTCCATCGAACGACTAGTTCAAATCTTCTAAAATCACTACAAAAAAACAGACTCACTAATTAAAACTAAACACAATCATAATAACATTTGAATAATATAATTACAAAAATAAATGTGACTCTTACCTATTAGCCATTTTTGCAGCAGCAACCAGAGCTCTCTCCTTTGTTTTGAACGATTTTTTTGTGGTGTGAAACTGAAATGAAATGGCTGGGTTTATATAGGGGGTGGCCACCTAACTCGCTTATGACACAGGCGCCGCCACTTTAGTCTCGGGCGCCGCCACCTGGGACAATTTCCCACCTAACACGCTGGAGTTTCAGGCAGTGCCGCCTGAGGCTTTGGCGCCGCCGCTGTCACTTAATCCAAAATATCATCCAGAGCGGCGGCGCCTGAGTCCCAGGTGTTGTCGCCAATTTTTGTCTCCAAAACACAATATCTGTGTAAATACTTCTTAATCCGCCATATTGGTGGTAAATTAAAAAAAAAACAATATTTGTGTCATTAATCCTTTTTCTTACAACTTTTGACATTGCAACAGAAAATGAAAACACTCAACCATACTAAAAACCTATAAGTTTGTAAGAGAAAACCCACATGCAAAAATTAGGGGTGGGCAACGGGAAACGGGTATTTGGGTATACCCGTACCAGTCCCGTTTTTTAAGGGTTACGGGTACCCATATTACCCGTAATATTATAAACGGATGGGACTTGGGATTGTACATTCCTAATATGGGTATCCGCGGGTTACCCGCGAATACCCGTTTGGGTAATATGGGTACCCGTTATACCTATTCAATACAAAGGCAGCCCAGCCCAATTCAGAACCCATTGGCCATTTCGGCCCTCACCCTTGCAATTTCAATTCCATTTGCCATTTGGGCCCAGGGCCCTTACCCTGTCAGTGAGACTCAGCTTCTCTGCTATAGATTTAGCTTCCCATGAACCTAAAAATTTGGACACTTTCTGCATTCAGCAACACAAGAAAAGTAGCATCATGCCTCCCATTTAGTTTTGTTGAATGAAACTTCTTATTTGATAATTTGGTGCTTGGAATGATTTATTTCTATGTGTTGTGATTGTCCATGAATGTGTTATCTGCAAACCGAGTATTTGTGATTGGGATGTATTTTGTGTCTTGTGATTGTTAAACAAATACAAGTTAAGTTTAAACTTTTGTTAAAATGTTAGTGGTTTAAACTTTGGGTATTTGTGGGTAGTATAGGTACCCGTTATCCGTCCCGTACGGGAAATGGGTACCCGTTTCCCAAATGGGTTTGGGATATGGGATGGACTTTGGTCTCCAAACGGGACTGGGTACCCGTTTAAAACGGGACGGGATGCCCATTCAAATAGGAATGACAATGTGACAGGTCGAGACAAGTATCTCGACCTATATTCGTCTCTTTACAGTTCATGCTCAGGTAGAGTAATTTATCATGAGACGCGGGTCAGGCCAGATCGGCTCATATGAATAAGTGATATTAAGATTTAAGAGAAAACATTAAAAATATTAATTTTCTCATTAACAAAATCATGAAACATATTATAGCATGATAAATATAATTAAAATATTCAAAAAAAATTGTGACTTTCTTCTATTATAGCAAAATACTGAGTAATTTATAAAAGGATATGTAAGTTAGTAAAGGTATCGAAATGAGATGAAGGACAAATCAAACTGAAGAGAGTATCCGTCCCATCGCTGTTCAAACAACCCAAAATTCACGAATCGTTCTTTAGTTTCCTCCCTCCCTCGCTTCAGACTTCCCAGCATTTTACTCTCTCTCTGCTCACGAACTCCACGAAGCCGCTCTAGAATTTTAGTTATGGTCTTACAACCCCGTTCAATTCTTACTCCCGCCATTTGCAGATCAGTCGTGAACCCTAGATTGGTTCCCCAAATCAAGCACGTTTCCAGCCTCAAGGTTATGTGGCGGAAGGACCCGAAGCTAGATGAAGCCATAGAGAGAGACAAGAGGTACAAGCTTTGCGCTCGCGTCGTCAGAGAGGTATTGAACGAGCCAGGCCAAGCAATCCCGCTATCTTACCTAGAGCGAAGGCGCGAGAGGTTGCACCTCATGGACAAGATCAAAACTTTCCTCCGTCGGAACCCACTGCTGTTCGATACGTGCTACGATCGAATCAAACCCAAATCCGAGCCGGTTCTTTTCGTTCGCCCGAGCCATCGGTTGAGGAATTTTCTGCAAGAGGAGAAGAGGATACAGCTTGAAAACGAGGAGCTGCTCGTCGCCAAACTGTGCAAGTTGTTGATGATGGCCAAGGACAAGGTAATCAGCGCAGATAAATTGGTTCATGTGAAGAGGGAATTCGGGTTTCCTAATGATTTCATGGTTAGTTTGGTGGACAAGTATCCTAACTACTTTCGGCTGACTGGGTTTCCTGGAGAAGGGCAGTCGTTTCTAGAGCTAGTAGATTGGAACCCTGAATTCGCTAAATCGGTTATTGAGCGGAGAGCTGAGGAAGAGTCCAGATTAACAGGGATTAGGGTTCGTCCGAATTTCAATTACAAGCTTCCACCAGGTTTTTTCCTGAGGAAGGAGATGAGGGAATGGGTTAGGGATTGGTTGGAACTCGAGTACGTATCGCCTTATGCTGATGCCTCGCATTTGGAGCAATCCTCGCCCGAAATGGAGAAGAGGTCCGTTGGGGTTTTCCACGAGCTGCTATCGCTTTCTCTGTTCAAGAGGGTTCCGGTCGCAATTCTTGGCAAGTTTTGTGAAGAGTACAGGTTTTCCAATGCATTTTCAAGTGTTTTCACCAGGCATTCTGGGATTTTTTATATGTCATTGAAAGGGGGAATTAAGACTGCAATGCTCAGAGAAGCTTACAAAGGCAGTGAGTTGATTGACCGAGACCCATTGCTAGAAATAAAAGATAAGTTTGTGGAATTGTTGGAGAAAGGCTGGCAGGAGAGAGCTGAGCAGTTGAGGCTGCAAAGGGAAGCAGTCAAGAAGGATCCTGAAATGGTGGCAATGCAAAGCAAAGATTTAGATGCGGAAACAAGCAGCGAGGAATCTGACAAGGGAGAGGAAGCAGAGGAATCAGTTTCGAATTCATGAAAAAGGCTAGGTAGCTTTGGCAGGCTGCACTGGCATCAATTTGATTGCCTTTTAAGTTGGCCTTCACCAGCTGAACTTCCTGTTGCACCATGCTTGAGAATGGTTAACTGTTTCGAAACTCGATTAGTTTATATTTTGACTTAAATGATTGCCGTGCATTCAATATTGACGCAGTTGATTGTCGCAGATATAATAGAACAGCTTGGTGGCATAATTTCCAGGTACGACAATAGTTTACTTCACCACCATGTATATGCAATCTTGCACACTTTACTTGTTTTGATTTCCTCTGGCGTATTATCTTCAGTATACTTGGATTTCCTCTGGTAGGAAGTAATTCATTACTTAGTTTAGAGAATAAAGAGTATGTTGCAACCTAACATAAACTTCATGGGTTAAAGATGAGCGGCAGAAATAACTGCGGGACGTCAACTACCAAAGAAGCAACACACTCTTTCGTTTGTTACTTCCCGTTCTTGCTGCTAAATTGTTGTCTTTATGTGCGTGAACATATATATAAATATATGAGATCCATATATATGCGAGGCTATTACTAAAATATCATCCGATCCAATCAATTCTATTTTTCTTGTCCATCTCTGTCTATGGTTGCAAAATGGGAAGTGTGAGAACTTTTGCTTTATTCTATTTTGCAGCCCTTCTAGTTGTTCATGTGGACAAGCTAGATGCCGAGAGACGCCGCCTTCCACTCTGTGCTTCACAGTTCTCACTTGCAAACTATGCCTGTGGTACTCTGCCATTCATGCAACTACCACCACCTTCCTCTATTCCTCCGCCAACAATATCTATAAAGTCCTCTAATCCGCCTCCTCCACCAATATCTCCATCATCTTCTCCTTCACCACCTGGTGAAGGTCGAGGAAGGCACAGGCATGGGAGGGGCCACCACCATCATGGTCGAACCTCCACTCCTGCAGAGCAGAGTTGTTGCAGGTGGCTGAATGAGTTGGATGTTGAATGTGTGTGTGACGTTTTGGTTCGTTTGCCAGCTTTCCTGGCAAAACCTTCTCACAAGTACACTCTCTATGTCAATGGCGCATGCGTTATTACTTACTCGTGCTCCGGCCGAATTGTGCCTTAGAAGAAGGAAGAGCTACTTGATCTGTAATCTAGATTTAGTATTGAATCGGGCTCAGAATAATTTCGATGTATGACTGCTGATAGAATTCCAGAAAGTTTTTTTTTGTAATTAAGGTCCCTCTCATGGGGCTCGTTTCCCTTTGTATGTGGTGAATATAAGCTGTGCCGCATTTGCTGGATGGTTTTTGGGAACCCAGATTGTTCTACATGAAAGATGAATAAAACACACCGAATTCCATTGCTTTTTATTTCCTGGAACGATGGAGATCCCATACTTTTGTTGTAGCTAATGTGATCAATGAACTTCAATTGGGGAAGACTGTGGATTGGTTTTGGAGGGGCCAATCTTTCAAAAAGCTAATGTTTGTTAGGAAGCTCCTGGTAAATGACCTATATAAGGTGTCCTAAGCTAATATTACAAGACAGTAAGGGTTACTGTAAGATGGAAATGTTCAGGTGCACTGAATAGCCCAGAATCATGTTGATCACTGGCCAAAAGCTCCCACACTACCTAGAATTACGGATTCGCTTCTGCAGATGCATAATCGATATTCTGTTTCTTCACTGGAGAATGATCAGCATTCAACCCAGATTTAGTAAATAACAAAAGGGTAATTAAAAAGAAAAGAACGTCCTTGGACGATTCATCAAAGCTATATGTGCTTTTTAGCTCCAAGAACTCGGGATGAAGCCCCTACCGAGCCGCCTTCAGAAGCCATACATCTGGATTTCTACCTGCCCTAGAGCTGCAGAAGGCTGAACAGAGGGGGACTGGTTACTGTTTACAGGCTGACAGGGAGAGAAGGAAAGAGAGAGTTGGGGTGGAGGAAATGAAAATGGTGTCTTAAGCTAAAATATACACTTCCCGTTTCTTGATAGTCCGTAAGCAAGAAACGCAGATTGATAGTTAGTAGCATAGCACATCACCTAACCCTCTTTTGAGCAGCGCAAACCGAATGCGCTTCATTAAAATTCCCCTCCCCCTTACCCATTTCACAACATGCAAGAGGTGCTTGGAATTGGCAGAGTAGATGCACCTGCAATATAAAGAAAAAAGGGTAGTAGCTTGTTAGCAGGTAGGAAGTCGAGAGATCGAAATTGAAGGCGCGCGAGACAGCGACAGAGAGAGAGATCCATGATCGAAAAGTAAGTCCGCGAATACAAATGAAGGCCGCTGTGACACTGCTGATACTCTCACCTTATTTAGCTCTAGTACTACTACTATTGCTGCTGCTGCCCCCCAACCTTTCCATTTCCACCGCTACCATCCCTTCTATCCCTAGACCTTCACCTATCCGTCCTCTCTGTGTCTCCCAGCTAGCCCTCGCCAACTATGCCTGCGCCAGCGTCATCACTAGCCTCACCTTCACCGATCCTCCAATGCCAACCGCCGCCTCCACCACCACAACTCCGCAGCCTTCCGAAATTCTGTTCCACCTTGCAGCAACCAAGGACGACAGCCATGGCAGGGATCCCACAACAGGCAGCAGGGAAGGTGGTGGTGCTCTAGGTGGGAGTGATGATCATGATGATGATCAACAAAAGCAGCAACATCGTCGTCATCGAAATCATCGTTCGCCTTCCTCGCACCATGATGGAGCGCGGAGAGATAGGCACAAACACCGCCGTGGGCGGCATCGTAATGGGCATCGAGGCAGTCGCCATGACCATGAGAGGAGACGAGGGGATGACAATGACGACGACGACGACAACGATGATGATGATGATGGTGGTGGTGGTAGTGGGGTGGAGGGAGATCAGCGGACGGCTTCGCCCGCGGAGGCCAACTGCTGTAAGTGGGTTGGGGCAGTGGACGATGAGTGTGTCTGCGAGTTGCTGTTTCGATTGCCCACTTTCTTGGCCAGACCCATCCATGAATACACCATCATTGTTAGTGAGTGGTGCAAAATTACTTACACTTGCGGCGGAAGGTCTAGACCATGATCAATATATTGACTGTTGATCCGATCCCATAATATCTGAACTACTACGCATAATTAGCTAGTCATGTAACTACAATATACTTTGTAGCCGGCTGCCTGTGGATGTGGTCCTGTCGTTTGATGAATGCAACTTAATTATGTAATCTGGACTGAATCTTCTTCCGAAGGGTGTTATCTAATTTTGGTGCTTAGTTTGCTGCGAATAATGTTGAGATGTTGAACTACTACTAGATTATTTTTGACAAGAGACTGCATTATCCCTAAAAACCAAGCTAAAGGTTACAGAAGTATGGAAATTACATTAAAGATGGTGATCCAATCGACTGGTAGCTGGTTTTTTGCACTTGATCGGGCCACCCAGTTGGCACGTACATTACATGCACGTCCAACAAAGGAGATACCCACATTTGGGACTTGCTCAAGGATAGAGGCAACAATGTCAAGCCTCGCTGCAACCATCCACAGCCAACCTTTTCTTGGTCCTCAAACAATATCCACCAGCATTTTACAATCAGACCTGAGCATGCATGGTCGAAAGTTCTCCAATGCAAGCAAACATCCTTCCTGTAATGCCATCGCTTTGGCTTCCAAAGTTGAGCTGCAGAGTAGGGAATCAGCCTTTCCACCACAAACCTCACCATGAGTGTTAATAACGACTACGCCATATGCCGCCTCCTGGGAATCACGAAAGAACGATCCATCACAATGAATCTCAAAGTTGAGATTACCTGCCGGTGGCAGGGAGTGGGATAGACCGAATAGAAACACTGATCCCCTCTTCCCTCTTTCTAGGGCAATTCTTCCGTTGCAGGTGCATTGTCTTTGAGAAAGTGCTGGGCCCGGGGGGGGGGGGGGCAGCTTTCCACATGTTCCAGAGATGAATGACAATTGAGGAGCGTCATTCTGGTAAGCCTTCCCTACTGCCCTTAACAAATCGATAACTTCTAGTGTAGGGGACGAAAGGGCAATCTCTGGAGAAAACTGCTTCCATGTAGCTCCGACATGGGCACATCCAAAGAGCACGTGGTGTGTGGATTCATCCATCTGGTGATACAATCCTGGATTGTCCAATTTTCAAGTTGGAGTTACTTGTCAAAGAAGCCAACTCAACTCATTTGAAGAACATGAAATTTTTGGCTAAGTATTGTGACTGTTTCGGGTGGCCTACTGATTACTCGATATTTGCACATGTTGTTGTCCACCATTCTTACACTGTTTGAGGTTCGATTCTCGTGTTTTAAGCCGATTTCACTCTAGGATTTTCTTTAATGACATATTTCAGGTCTTGGATCGGCTGTGCATGCTTGGAAGCGAGTTTCGAGTCAAAAGCACCAAGTGGACGAAAGGGGGAGCTCGAGGACTGAATTCCCCAGTCAGACCATCAAATACCCGACCGGGGAATCGCAATAGGAGATCGGGGAAGTTGCTCAAGGTTTTCCCCCGGTCTTGACCCCTTAATCCCCTACAGGGAAATCATACCTGCGACCGGGGAATTCAGCTTCACCACTTACATGTTGCGCGCCGTTTTGAAGAAACCCGGCCTGTCATCAAATTACCCGACCGGGTAATCAGGCCAGGGGTTCGATACTCGGGCTGTTTAGTGCCAGAAGCGGGTTTTGACATGACATTCAAACTATGGAGTTAAAAACAGAGGTTTAGAGAGAGAGAGAAAGTGACGAAGAGAGATCCTTGAGTGCCCTAGATCAAGTCCCACACCATTGGAGCTCGATTCAAGCCCCGAGGAGTGACGATTGACAACCCGGTGCCGATTTCTTTCGTCTACATGATGATTTTCACATCCGACATAGCTTTCCACTCTCTCTCTCTCTCTCTCTATGGAGTAATCCCCTCTATCACTTGGGTATGTACGAACCCTAGATTGTATGTTAGAATGAGTTGTATGAACCCTTTGCCATGAATGATTGATTGATTTGTATCGAGTTGAAGTACTTATTCAGAATTGCTTGAGTCTTGATAAAATTCTAGTGATTCATGCTTTGACCTAGAAAGGTAATCTCTGCATAGGTCAATAAAGCGTCTTGAATTTGAGGTAGTGAATCGGTGACTTTAGTCAGAAAGTCGATTCACTGCTCTGTACTGGTTTAGAACCCCCGTAGAGGAAGTTTGAATCTTATTACCTCGGTTAGCTTACGCCCGTGGAGGTTAGTCGCCCGTCGGGTATTCAAACTAAGAGGCTCTAGAGCACTTCAGTCGAGACTCCAGACTGTTTAAGAACTTTTCGCGGTTTAAACATCAATCAACTTGGTTTATGTGAAATACAACTTGGCCTTACTGCAATATAGGAGGGCTCATACCCGAGCGAGCCTTCTTAACTTGAATCACAACCTTACTGCTTTGTGTTTGCTTAGATTAGTTACAACTTCACTACATTCAAACTGCTAGATAACGAGAACTTCATGGAGCAGTCATCACATCTAGGACCCGGATCGACAAGTAAAGCTAAACCCACTATCCTACGCATTAGTTTGTGGTTACACTTGTCCACTTTCTAGTGTGACGGTATTGGCGAGTCACCTACTTTGTAGGCCTGGTTCTCTTAATTGGCTCGATGGAAATGGGAGTTTAAGGGTTTGTTTTGAAGCTAACGTGTTCTTCTACAAGCTAGGGTGCTTGGAAGCTCGAGGAGAAGCAGGGAAGTTCATTTTCGAAACTCATCAAAATGCGTCCTCAATACAAGAAAACTGCCCGAATTTGGATAAGGCAGGGAACGTGTTCATGAAGGTAACTTTGGAGCTTCATTCGAGGAAGAGGGTTGAGAGTCGAGTCATTAACTTCATACTTCATGAAATTACGTATGCTAATCTACAAAGACAAGGCATTGGTTGATGGAGTGCTTACCTGGAAGGCTTTGAATCGAGAGGCTCCAAGATGGCATAGAGGTTGGTGGTTTCATGAGTTACAAGGCAGAATCCTTGTTGGATTCGGATTAGACTTCTTGTTGGTTTCCTTGTTTGTTTAGTCTTTTCTTCTTTTATTAGGTTTATTATTAGGTTATATTTATACTCCTCGAAGGGCTTGTAATAGGGAGTTCATAATTAATCAAAGTTGAAACCTTAAAAGCTAAGTTTTCGTGACTTGTTTTTGGTTGAGAGTTTGACCGAGAAAACCAAGCTCCATTGAGCTCTTGTATCAATCAAAATCACATTGATTGTGGACGAGCATCGACATATAGTTGCTGAGCCTTCCTCCAGGTGTAGGGTTGCACACAACTCCCACCAAATCCATTCTTAATCGCCGGCAAAACTTTGTTGCAAGTTTTCTGACGAGTTTT